TGCTTGTACTTTTCTGTTGATGAAAGTATTCAAGGTTGTTCCAGTACTGAAAAAAAAAAAAAAAAAAAAGCCCACCTTTACAAAGCATATATGAAGTCTTGAGCTCCAGAGGAGAATGTCACAGCACCTCTTCCTGCCTTTTGATACATTTGAACAACACTACTTCAGAGAGTTTTAGCAGAGCAGGAAAGGCACTGCAGCAACACTGCCATTGCTGGCATTGCTGCTGTTAAGCATGAGAAAACCTCTGCTGAATACAGTACTAATTCTCAATTAACAAACAAAAATAATCAGTGTTCCATTCACATTTAAGTAGGAATTCTTTTTTGGATTAGTATTTTCTGTCTACTGTTGATGACATTAGAGACATAAGAGCTCAATTCCTTTCTTTCTCCTTTAATGAAGAGAGCTTGTTCTCAGTAATTGGGAAAGTCTTGGAAATGTGCTGTCTGTATGCATGTTCCATATATACTGTGGATATGCAAACATTCGAGATGTGAGACATTAAGGGAAGTGTGGGTGGAAGTGTTTATGTCCATCATCCATTGTTCAACGCATAGGATGAAAGTAAAAAAAAACAACATGCAATATACCCTTGTGTCCTTTTAGAGCCAGAATATTCACCTTTTCCAAAAAGGGACATCAAGTAGAAGTTGGATGTACTAGCTTGGAAATAGGCACGCAGACTGCACATCCCCAAGCGCTTCCAGTTACTGCTGAGTAGTTTTCTTCCCTGTGAAGTGATCACTTAACAGATGTGTATTCAGTTACAGTGAGGCCCAAGAAGCGGGAACCTGTGCAGGTAACTTGGTAAAGAGTCTTGGAATGTTTTAGGGAAAAGCAATCATCAGATGTGGTGGTGTTCGAATGCTCAGTGGTGCTAGATGTAGCTTTGATGTACCTTGGAGGAGATAGGTTAGTGGGAAAATTTTAACTGGGGGAAATACTGAGGCTGCAATTAAATCACTCCACTCCGCCTCGTACTGCAGGTCCTGGTAGAGATCTGTGCAGTGTGACAAGCTTTCAGCTGGGATAGAGTGCCTAAAGATCTCTCTGCAGGAAAGAAACAAGGGGTGGTATCCATCAAGAGAGTCTTGTAACTGAATAAAAAGATGGAGCGTAAATGATACTCAGTGGGCAAAGACAATTGTCAGCACTTGAGAACCATGGTTTGAGAAGATCAGTTTTTTGGCTGAAATAAAATTCAAGAGTCCTCATCAGAGGAGGATGCATGTTCTAAGCTGTAGAGATATCCACCATTAAGACCATGAGATACATGGAACAGAGTTTTGAATGGACACACTGCCATGTCTGTAAGGGCAGACGTAGGCCTGATGACAGTAGTGAATGTGTCTGTATCAAGACTGCACAGATGAAGTTAGACCTGCCTCCATCAGTCTGGGATGCCCATCAGTGTAGGCCTCATCCTACTGCACCTTTCCGCTCATGATCTGTAAGAGCGAAACTGGAAGGGAGGCTCTCATGTGGGTTTGCACTCATGAGCTTGGAGAGTAGCCTTGTAGCAGGATTCACGTGGCTTCTTAGTGTCTGAAATGGAGAATCGAAGAATCATAGACTATGCTGAGTTGGAATGGACCCACAAGGATCATCAAGTCCAACTCCTGGCACCACACAGGTCCACCAAAAAATTCAGACCATGTGACTAAGAGCACAGTCCAAACGCTTCTTAAACTTCAACAGGCTTGGTGCCATGACCATGTCCCAGGGGAGCCTGTTCCAGTGTGCGACCACCCTCTCGGTGAAGAACCTCTTCCTGATATCCAGCCTGACCCTCCCCTGTCACAGCTTGACACCATTCCCTCGGGTCCTGACGCTGGTCACTAGAGAGAACAGCTCAGGGCCTGCCCCTCCGCTCCCCCTCATGAGGAAGCTGTAGGCCACGGTGAGGTCTCCCCTCTGCGTCCTCTTTAGGTCTCAGAGTAGGTGAAGTTTTGGAAGATAAATTTGAGAACATCCCAAGTTTCCTTCTTGTGGCTCTTGTTCCTGCATCTCCAGTTTGCATCCAGAAGTGTGTTCCAAGATGATAGGTGAACATCATCATATCTGCATCAATTCAGAATGCCGTCTCTGCCATCAAAGAACAGGTTCCACAGTTGCTCATTTATGTAGAACATCACAGCAATATTTTTCTGCCAGCAGCAAAAAGATTATGCATCTCCTCAGTGTGGGGGGGGAACTGGGTGCTTTTCACACAGGCTGCAGGTTTGGTATGTCCAGGTGTGGATAGGAAGTCAGAATGGTATTCTTGTGGAGAGGTAAGGCGTGCAGGGGGAACTGTTGCTACAGTAGCACCCATCTTAGAGCTGTCCCCTGCTTGTTCACAGGTGTCTCTCAGGATACAGATAGTCATGGCCATGGTTGTATACAGAGCACATGAAGCTCCTACACAACTAAACTGCCTTCTTCAAGAGGAGGTGCTCTGACAGTGATCGAGTCTCGAATTATTCCTGAGCCCTGAAGTAGAGATTTGTATCTGTGAAGACAGGAATAAACCCGTGCCTCTTATCCTCAGAAATCTGCCAGTCAGCCCCCTGCCGCAGTGGCTTCAGAGTGGGGGAACGTAGCAAGGAAATGTGCTCCCAGGTGCTGGGACACTGCCACCACAAAGAGATCGCAGTAAAAAATTGATTTGTGAGTGATGGCTTGGTAATAAGAAGTCCTTCAGGCTCTGGTACTGCATGACACAGGTGGTCACTCGAGCAGTTTCAGTAGTGTGAGCTATCTACTGAGGCCATGTATGAGATGGCAATGGCCATTGGCAAAGGAACAAGATGAGAGTCTCAGAAATAACTGGTCTGGATGTCCAAGATCCAAAGCTGGAGTTATGGGGTCTTTTGAGAATCTATTTCTGGAACTGCTGTGGATCATAAAGTCCCTGTGCTTGGAGACACTCTCACTCTTGTACAGAAAACAAACCACTGCAGCAATAACCAATTACCAGGTTCAAGCACAGCAAAAGGCTCCAGAAGACCTTGGTAAAGCAAAGTCAGAGGAACTTTAAGGTTTGTGTCTGGAAGGATTCAAGTAAAATTGAAGGAAGTAAAATGGTAATTGGGGGGGCAACAACTGTGAAGGACAGCATTGTGAAGCACACGTTTGAAAAGGTGGTAATAAAGAGCAACTTCGAACTCACCTACAGAGGGACTGAGAAGGAAGAAAGCGTGCCCCTGTCACACTCCTGCAGCATGGGCAGAGGGGAGGTGCCAGCCTGGGTGTCCTGCCATCTCGTGTGCTCAGATGCGTGCCTTCCTGCAGGTTGAACGTGCAAAGTGGACAGATCTCCAAATAAGTATTTTAATCCAGTAAATACTGAAACATGCATTGGATGTAAGCTTAAATTAACTGATGGCACAGTTCAGAAATGCAGCAACCACTGTTAATTGCTTTTTGTGGCTGCTACTTCTCATTCTATCAGAGAGATCTTTTCCTGTCTTTTCCAGTGTATCACACACAAATGACTTGCTCTTGCCTTTCTGTCCCTTTTCAACTTAGTTTCCTGCTTACTTTTGCTTGACTGCTTGGCTTATGACCAGTGTCCATGGTCAAGTAGCACAAAGAGAAACCTAGAATCAAAAATTCCTTAAAATACAGATGCATGATTATAGAGAGGAATAGCCTTACCAGTCAGTCACGTTTATCCTTTAAATCTTGAAGGTCAGTCAACCTAAACAATGGTTATACAGCAAAAAAAAAAGTAACGTACTGTTATAAATGTCTTGCTTTGCTGTATGCTTGCTTCGATCTCCTTGCTTTTAATGCTGAATCCAAAAAGATTGTTTTCCTTCTCAAGAAGATCTCTTCAGTTGAGCAAGTGTGCTGTAATAAGAACGCAACAGGGCAATACAGAGGCAATTTCAGTCTCTCAACTGATGATCATAGCTCTAGGATACTAATTCATTTAGTACAGTGTGTATTTATGAATTAGGCAAAGCTGGAAGGTCTACAATGTGTTCATCAAGTAAAAAACCGTTAACCTGTAACATAAAATGAACAAGTGTCTATTTTACAAGCAAATTAAAAATGTGAAGTAGAGTCCTAAAGCCCCATTGTAGTACGGGTGCTTTGGTGGCCAAGGTGAAGGAAGGCTCCCTTTGTTTTGACAAATCAGAAGGTTCAGGAGCATCTCTTATCTTCTTGTTTACTCCTCCAGGTAAATACCACCGTCTCCGTACTGAGGTAAATGAGCAAACCGTTTGGGTCAATAAATGTGTGAAGCATGAAAATTACACCAAGGAGACCAGCGATAATGACATAGCCATGCTGCACTTGGTTGAGCCTGTGATGTATAACAAATACGCGCTCCCTATCTGCCTTCCCACACGGGATCTGGCAGAGCACGAGCTGACAAGGAACGGGAGGCAGATGATGGTAACTGGTTGGGGCAGCACAAGTGATATCCAAAAGAAGAATTACTCAACCCTCCTCAGCTACATCGAGATCCCAATGGTTCCCAGGAACGAGTGTGCACAAGTGATGAGACACACTATCTCTGACAACATGCTGTGTGCTGGGACTTTAGGAGACAGAAAAGATGCCTGCATTGGTGACAGTGGAGGCCCTATGATCACTAAGTATAAGGATACTTGGTTTTTGGTAGGACTGGTGAGCTGGGGTGAAGGCTGTGGAAAAAAGGAGAAGTTTGGAGTCTACACCAAAGTAAGTCAGTACCTAGAATGGATTCAGCACCACATAGATGAGATGTCACCTTCTTCGAAGGGTTGATTCTGGTACTGCAAGCCTGGGATATTGTGGCTATGTGCCAGTGACAGTATGCAGTGTAATGTACTGTCAGATTTCAGTATTAAATATTGAGTATATGTTAACCTTGTGTAGTGTTTTCCTTGGTACTTTCTCCAGGTCACGTTGTTTATTTGTAGCATGGTCCTGCTTAAGCCTTACAGGCAAGAGATAGTAGTACCGTTCTGCTGGGAGGCTGTACAGCATTGTAGGAAATAAGATAGTCTGTGGTTCACCAAATCTGTTAAGTGAAAAATAACTGAATTGGTTGGGGGGGGGGGGAGAAACAGAGAGATCTATTTAGGAAAAAATATTTAGAAGATCAACTTAGTGATACAGTTCTGTCATTTCAGCTTTACTCTAACATACCCACAATAACTGTTTGGTTTGCTCTGTATCTGTATATTTTTTCTTTCAACAAAATGCATTCTTGTCTTAATCCAGTGCTTGCAGGTTAAGCGATTCAGCAGGTCCATAGATCTCCATATTTGCTATTCCTTGCAAATCCAGTGCCTGATTTTACCCCACCACACTTCCTTACAAGTCCTTAGAAATGGGAACTCTGCTGTTACTCAAAAAGGAGGTTTAATTCCAAACTCTTGCATGCTCTTTTTATCCTAATGTCTGTAAATCTCATCTAATCAGCAAGCTAGGCAAACTCTGTTGTTCATTCCTGTTCTATTAAACACAATCAGCTGCAGGTTAAATTAGCATTTCTAATACTTGTGGATAGATTTTAGTGTGTATGTATGTATGTTTGCACCTATATCTCTACATGTGTGTATACCAGTAAACAAAATAAAGACATATAGCAGCAGTAAGTCCATAGGAAGTTGCAATAGTCAAAATTAAGTTTCAAACAAACACAATTTAAACTTGATTTTAATCTTGGCATATAAGCCTGCTAAATAAAATTAATATTGTAGATATAAGGTGAAACCAACTCTGCTGTAGTGATACCAGTTTCCAACATCTCGGTCAGTCTTTGGACTCCTGTTGGGATCAGCAAAGAATGTCTGTCTGCTCTTGTGATGAGATTGTTAAATGAAAAAACAACTCAGTTGCGACAAAATTGTATTAGAATTTGTAAGAAACTTAATATGCTATCAGCAAATAAGTGTAATCTCTCTTAAGCTTGTAGACTTAGTCTTACTGACTTACGAGCTGCCCACATACTTCCTTAGCAATTGCTGCAGTTGATTCGTGAATAAAAGAAGCCACAGGTAGGCCAGGCGCTTCATGTTGGAGGTAAGCTGCAAATGAAGAGTACATTCAGCCACCTGTCTCTGTCATCCCTGTCCCTCTTTGTCCTTTTTTCCCCTCCCTTTGTTTAATTGGTATTGGACTTAAGGATCAGCATGTTAAAGAATTACACTTCTTTGAGCAGTAGTCTTCCAGACGAGGCCTGTACCGAACATACAAGCATCTGAAACCTGATATTGCTGGACAGTGAATTACAAGGAAAAACCATATCGTGGTCAAAGCTAGTAAAACATGGGTTTAATTAAAGGCAGAAATCATGATGTCAGTGAATAGCTGTGATTGTTACCAGGCAGTATTTGCCTTCCTGCAGGTGGCTGCTACGAATCCTCCTACACAGTCACAGGTTTACGTATTTCAAAGAGCAGCCTTTGTATTTCCCAGATCAATTGATCCTATCTACTGAAAGAAGATGGAGTGTCAGAAATCTTCTATAAAAAGAAACAAATTCTCCTGAAGAGCATTGTTAGAAAGAAATGGCTTTTATTGCTGGAGGATGTATTAATGATTTTTTAGTTCAAATACTTGTGTATGTGTGTAGAAACAATTTTCTTTTTATTTTGGATTGCAAGCCAGTTTCAGAGAAGCCAGAAGGTTGTCTCTCCTCTGTCAATATTTGTGACTGGTTAATGATCAACCTCTTGACCTCATGGATGTTCCTGGTGTGCATCCAAACATCTCCTCTGTCTTCCCCTAAAAATAAAAAATAAAAGAAAGAAGTGAGTATAAATGCATGCTTCTCTGTAAAAGGGAATGAATTCTGAGCCTGTTTTTTGGAAGGTGACACAGATACCAAAGAGGTATGTGCTGTCAAGCCCCCAAAAATTATTCAGCCTGTGAAGGTAATGTGAAGAAATGCAAACTTCTCTCATGTAATTTTTACTGCCAGGTATGTGGTAAATGGTTTCCTAATCAGGGTTTGCAGCTGTGATCTTACTTGACAGGACCATCAGGAGCTGCACAACAGCCGCTGCTGCTGGAAGCTGCTGGCTGAAGCGTGCGGCTCAGACCTCAGCCTGGGATCCTTCAGAGGCTGCACAGGGCTGTCGCTGGAACTGGCTTCTGCTCAGCTTGGGCCTGATCCAAGCCTGCCGTGTGCATCACAGCTTTTGTATTTCTTCTGCGGGCTTTGGATCAGACCTTGTGCCACTTCCTGGGCTAGGTCAATCTGTGCATTTTGCCTTGCAAACTGTTGGGATTCCTGTTGGAGTGTGCAACATCAGTGTTAGAGAACAATGGAAATCCCATCGCAATGAGCTCAGAATTTGCTTTCTTTCTCCCCTCTTTCTCCCTTCTCTTGCCCTCTTGCTTGCACTTCATTTTGTCTTTGTCTTGTTTGCAGTCTGATCCCCCCTTGCTGGTTTTGTGACCATATACCAATTTCATTCACCTCTCCCCTCTGAAGGAAAGTCAGAGTTTCCCGAATGCTCAGTAAAATGGAGAGCAGTTCCTCGCTTGTGATGTTTCTCCTATTAATGTGCTCTGTCAACAGCAGCTGTCCGTATTCAGGTAGGTGCTTCTGAATTACATTTTTAACCTCATTGATTTCTTGTGAGAATCTCAGCACAGGGTCCTACAGGTTCAAGAAACACTTCTTGAAATACGTCAGAGAAAAGCGAGTACTTGTGTGTATTTCTGAGAGAAATCAGCCTTTCATAACTTCCTTCTTAGACCACTATCTTGTTTTTCCTGTATCCTTTTGTGGTGTTGGAACCAAAATCTGAATTATTATTTGCATGGCGATGTTTTTAAATTTGGGAAGCTAAAATTAGGCATTTTCAACATGTGTTGACAGGTGATTTCACTGATCCAGGTGAAAGTCAACTGTGCCTTTACTGGACATCAGGATCTGTCCAAAGCTTTTCTCAGCTAAGAGTTATCGTGGACAGTTTCTAGATGCCTAGAAATGAAGCAATTTGATATTATTCTAGAGTTTCAGTTGTTGCTGTAAATACTGATCCTGCAGCTGCAAAGAAATGTGTGAACTTATGGCCCATCTGCAAAATTGGGCTCGTTGTCAGAGAATGAACATTTCTTACCATAATTTTTTCACGTTTTTTCATAGATGGATGGCTTTTAGATATAGATGCCTACTTCTGTACATCTAACAGAAAGACAAAAATCTCCTTCTACCTTAAGTAGTGACTCAGGGCTCAATTCAGTCACCACATGTAACTGTCTGGAGGTATTTGAGATGGCACCTGGTATCAGTACGTCCACAAGGGCTGCACGAGCCCTCACCCTGCTTCAGAGCATCCTGGCTGGACAGTCCTGGGGTCACCGTGCTTCAGCTCGAGATGCACTCGCAAAGGCTTGGTAGCAGCACCAGGAGATACACGGGGAGGACCTTACTGCTGCGTTCCCTCTTCTGGCCACTCTTTGCTTAATTTGTTGGTACTAATAGCTGTTGAGCCATTGCAGCAGATAGCTTTGTGAAGTGGAAATGAACTGAATACAAGTACAAAACTGACACTTTATGTATTTATTTTAATGAAGGAGTGGCATCTCTATTACTGTGTCCACATCTGTATTACTGTGTCCACAGTAGCTACCTGGAAAGTCTCCATTACTGAACATCTGAAAAAGGTGACATTGAATAGAAACCAAATTTCTGCTTTCAGCTTTATTTCCACATGCACATACAGCCAGGCAACTAGTAGTCACTGTGAATCAGGAAAGAGGCAGAAAAATACAGTCAGCCTCCAAAGAAGCTGCAATACTCAGGAGTCCTGTGGGGAAAAAATATTCCTGTGCTAGTCTGTAAGTCTCAGTAGTGAACCAGGAGGTTCTTGCTTCTAAATGGCATTGCCCAGAGCTGGGCATCCCTCCAAGTGGCACAGAGGTGTGAAGTTTCTGAATTAATGGAAGCTGCTCTGCAATTGGGTCTCTTCCTGAGACACAGCCAGTGCTGCTGGTGCTGTGACAGGGCACGCTGACAGCCACAGCTTGACTGCCACAGACTTGTAAATTACCTAAATTGAAACACAGTAATAGGTTTTGTGGTTTGTTTGTTTGTTTGTTTGTTTTTCATTATGAGGGTGATCAAATCTTTAATACAGCAAGAGATTTTAGGGATAGTCTTATATAAAGTTTTTAAGCCCTTTCCACAGGAGAAAGCAAGCTAAGAATATTTAGTATTATTTCACTTAGTAAATCTTCAGTTACAGTGCCTGGGATTGGCACAGTTTAAAAAAAAAGAAAAAAGGCAAAAAAAATCAAAGTCATGGATCTGGTTCTTTTAAATGAGCTGAATCTTTTAAATCCATTAAAATAAAACTTAAACTACTATTGCCTTTGGTTAGGACACAGACTAATTTTATTTTCAGTTGTGCTGTTTACATAGCTTGCTTTTTTTTTCCTATATTTTGTTTGTCTAACTGAAAGCATGCATGGCTGTTAGTGTAACGATGCAGGTTTGTGGTCTTCTGGTCATTAACTGTTTGATTTCGTTTTTCTAGTGTTCGTGACAAGAGACAAAGCACACGAGGTGCTGAAAGTCCAGAAGCGTGCTAACTATTTTCTGGAAGAGATTCGTCCAGGGAACTTGGAGAGAGAATGCAATGAGGAAACGTGTTCGTTTGAGGAGGCGAAGGAGATCTTCCATTCACAGGAGAAAACGGTAAGGAAATTAATGGTGAGATACAAGGAATTGCCCTCAACAAGACCCCACCAAAAGATAAACCATGCACTCTAACTGCAACTGACTTACCAATAGGAAAAAATATTTTATCCTTTTTATTTTTGTGTATTACTCAAAGTTCCCACTATATAATTAGCTATAAAACCACAATGCAGAAAATGTGTGGAGGTAAGTTGGGCTGAGGTGGAAGGTGTATGGGAAGTGGAGTAGATATTCCTGATGAATTTGCAGTGTGCACATTGTCGTTACAACATAACGCTGGTTTACTCTGGGACTACATGGTCCATTTGCCTCAGTCTTGTTCAGAAAGAGGTAATTTTTGTGTCTTGCAGAAGTTAAAATGGCATTAATGGCTTCACTCTTACTGCCCCCAGTTAACCAGCACATTTAACCGATGTCTGCACTGTTGAACAAAGAGGCTTTCTCAGCAGCTCTTTGCTTAAAGGAGTTCACACGTTGCAGCACTTGGCTTCAGGCATCCAGTCTACAGGACTGTCCAATACACTGCCAGGAGCCTGGGCTGCTTTCTGGGTATAGGGTGCCCGGGGGCACCCTTTCTTTTTCACCTACCCTTTCTGGGCAGGTGCCTCTGACAAGGACCTTGGAAGATCCGTGCACTGAAGAGCTGGAAAAGCTGCTGCTTCAGACTGGAATTCTTGCCCTTGCCAGATCCTGGCAAGCTTACAGCTGCAAGCAGGCAGAGACACTCACTTGGGAGCCACCTTGGGAAACCTAGCTCTGACAGGCACCAGCAGCAATCCCTGCCAAGCTGCTGCAGCCTATGGCCTGGCTCTGGCAGGTTGGTCCCTATGGATTCTGCAGCTTTGTAGTCAGGACATATCAAGGCAGTCTGTGAGATCTTGCTTTCTAAGCAAGTGCTGTAATTATCAGGCTGTTAGATAAATGTTAACACAATTCCTTTTAAGTATGCAAAACTTACTTTATTCAGAGCCTCAGTCCACGAACATGATTCTGGTATTTTCAGAGGGCACCTGCTTGATCATGATCCCCCCAAATACATGGGAGGAGCACCTTGGTCTCATGGCCTCCTAGCACCCAGCTGGGAGGTGGGGCTCCAGGCCTTGTGCTGGGGACCTTGCTGCTGAAGCAGGAGTTGGAACTGCAGTTTTAAGTAGAGGTGCCTGATTCCTCTCTACCCTGAGTTACTTAGGTGACATCTACTTAGCAGGTAGTACTGTGCAGTAGAAATGGCTCTTAAGAGCGAAGCAGTTGAAGCTGAGGGCCTTGCATGGGCACATTTTGGGTAGAAGGTGCAGGGGGTACACTTCAAACTACTAGGATGGTGGCACAGATCTTTAACTGGCTGGAGGATTTATGGGTCTAAGCTTTGTTTGATTTTCATCCCAGTACAATCCAGTTTATGCATTCTGTGGCTGATCTAAAGAGAGCTGCATGGGGTTGAGCAAGAGATCTGCTTCAGGAATATATTTAATTGTTCTAATCAAAATCTTATCGTGCACCCTAGATAGACTGTTTTCTAAATGACAAGTAGCCAGTATGGCCATTTTATGACTGGGTTTTATTTATTTATTTTTATTATTATTTGTGATTTTTTCTTGCAGATGGAGTTTTGGTTCAATTACAAAGGTAGGTATAAAAGGAATTTTTTAAAAAATCCCTTTATTGTGTTCCTTCTAAATACAAAGAATTACGTGGAAGTTCAAAACCAGACTTCTCTTAATTCCTGGAATTACGCTGTGGCTTGTTTCTTCTTCTTAGGTTTAAATCCATGTAGTACAAATCCCTGTAAGAATGGTGGAGTCTGCAAAATACGACACTACAATTACTTCTGCATCTGCCCCCCAAAATTTGGAGGAGACAACTGTGAAGAAGGTGAGTACAGGAACACCAACTTTGACATTCTTTGTGAAGGAAGGGTTAAGGCTGGAATTTGTTTCTTGGACACTTGAGCTGAACCTTTGCACAGGCTTTTCACTGAGATTATCAGTGTTGACTTCACGTGTCCCATACATCTCTGGTCTGCTGTTTAAGATTAACACGTTAGAATGGTGGTTTTGGACATGGCACTGGGGCAACACCATCTTAGAAAGGGAGTCATGACTCTCTGTATCTGCTTCTAGCTGTGTTGTGCAGAGGAGGGTGGCACAGCCTGTGCCACACAGCAGCTGCAGCTCTGGGCTCTTGCTGATCTTTGCAAGCCTAGAGGAAAGCACACGTCCATCTCCTGTCTTCCTTCAAGAAAGGGCAGGGAATTTGTTAGTTTTATCACTTTACAGTGGTAACAAATTCAGCAACTCCATAGAAGGCTGTACTTCCATGGTGAGGCCCCATATTTCATGGTGAAGCTCTGTTCTCTTTTTAATTTTATTGAGTAAATCCATCAGACAAATTAGCCAAAGCTTGTTGCAAAGAACAACAAGACAAAGAAAATAAATTCTGTATTTATGTTGTAATGTGAGAATGATGAGAAATGAAATAGAAAAGTCACACGTCTCTTACCAGATTCTTGGTCATCTGAAATTCTATGGCCAGTCTGCAAATGACTGAAACATGAAATCATGTAAGTGGAAACTGCAAGTCATAAATAAGTTTTCCCCAACACCTGGCTTCCCAACAAAATACTCAGATCTTTAAAACTGCTATGATACAGTAGGAAAGGTTTGTAGAAGGATCAAAAGTGGATGCATGTAGAAGTGTGGGGTCCTCCAGGCATGTTACTGCTCCTGCTTTACAGGCAGAAAGGCCTAGAGCTCAGCTGTGGCCTCAGAACAAAGTAGGCAAATAAACAATAAAATGGTACAAACAGGAGAACTAAAGTAGATGTATGGCAACGTGCTTGTTTTACTACATAGATCAGTGTGGTTTTTTTTTCTGGGCCTCTGAGTAGTTCCTGCTGTTTCCATTCCAGTTTTCAGCAGTTTTTTCCCCACAGTCTGACACAGTTCTTCCCTACTGCTAGCAGCTGTGAGCTGCTCAGGCTTTGTTGGCAGCACTAACCCAGCGGCCGCCTGTCTCCTTCACAGAAAAGTTCGAGTGCTGGTATAAGAACGGTGGGTGCTGGCAGTACTGCAGGGACAGCAGTCGCTCCTTCCATGTGGAATGCTCCTGCGCAAAGGACTACGCCCTGCACGAGGATGGGAAGAGGTGCGTGCAAGCAGGTGAGGTGTGATCAGCTCAGTTGCGTTAGGTAAGGCGCAGATTGGCAGGCGCTGCCTTTTCTTCTTCTTTTCACTAGCTGTAGAAGAGCTACACACTGAGTAGCTGCTTTAACGCATAGAAAATGTCAGTTTTATTTACCTTTATCATTAAGGTGCACTTTAGGTTTTTCTCTAACGCAGTGCCCCCCTGAGCAAGCAGGGGCCCAGGGGCAGCACGGTCTGGAGGCAGCATAGCATCAGAGCCATTTCCCTGCGTGCTGACGCCACCCTTCAGCTTCCTGAGAAGGGACCCGACAGCAGCATGGGCTCTTCCCAAGTCTGTTTGTGCACCAACACGGCGTGTCGCACCGGGCGCTGTGGGTTCCCGTTCTGTCCGCTTGGCAGGCGGCTCTGTGGTACCAGCTGGGGCTGATGCCGCTGGCTCAGAAGAGGCCTGGCCATGTGCTGGGATTTTCACTAATTAATTGATGCACCTTGATTGGGTGATTGAGGGACAGGGGCTTGACATCAAGGCATCGTGTTGTTTCTGGGCTGTTAACAGTCAGTTTGATTTTTTCTCGGACAGGAGCTTTTGTGTGACACCACACCAAGCAGCCTAAGCTCAAAGCTCTTTCTTGCTCCCTCCAGGACCCTTTCCGTGTGGCCTGATTAAAGCCAGGCATGCCATGCGAGAGGAGGCTCTGGGGCAAGCAAGGATCCCAAGGGAGCTGAGTGAGAGCAGGATCGATGTGGCCACATGGAATGAGAGCACGGAGGGCACAGCCAAACACTCTGAGATGGAGCTAAGCACTGCCAGGGAAAATGAAACATTAAAGGATGTGTCTGAGCAAAGCACAATTACGGAGGATGCTGCTGGACCAAAGGAGGTGGGAGTAGATGCTTCCAGCTGCACCAAGACACCGGTGGACTCAGGTACCCAGAAGCAGCTGGGGCAGGAGGGTGCTGCCCCTGAGCACGCAGCCATGGAGGGGCCAGCCAGGCCTGGGCTGCGGTGGAGTGAGCTGCCCCAGGGCCCTGCACAGCACAATGAGACCACAGCAGCTGCTGCCAGGCAGGAAGAAACAGTGCAAAATGCTTCTGGACAGAACCAAACAGGGCAGAGCATGGGCCAAAACGAAACTGGGGCAATTCAGACCATGTGCGATGGGCTTAATGAGAGCAGGGGCGCCACAAACGCTTCAGGCGAGGCTCAGCACAACCAGCCAAACAGCAGCTCTACCTCAGAGCACAACGGCTCCAGGATAAGTGGAGGAACGTTGTGTCATCGCGGACATTGCCCCTGGCAGGTAATAAATACCAAAACTTTTGCTTTCTTTATTGTGGGGACCATCTGTTGCAGGTTTCACCAATCATTATAAGCATCTGTGTTTTTTTTTTTAATAGAAAAGTGTGTTACCTATAGAGGTAAGATCTCAAGCTTCTGCAGTTTTTTTTGAGCGTATACATTTGAGTTGTCATCTTCATCATTCTCCCTTGTTCCCAGCCTTGTCTTCTGCACTTCTGTGTTCAGAGCTTAATACACTCTTAACTAAATAAATCAGATCTTTTCTTGCTCTGTTATTCAGATTCTTTGTTTCTGAGGCTCTTGCTGCTTGACTCCTTTTGGAATGGCTGATGGTATGTTCACAAAAGTTTTCTGTCACCAGGTGAGCCTCGTGTACTGAGCTTTTCATACTTGTTACAGGTAAGAAGGTAAAATTGAGGGCTCCAAACTGAAAGCAAGTGGCATGTATCAAATTGGGGAACTTGGCTGAAGTGTTTCCCTTATTTTCACTACTCTGCTTTTTTAATATCCTTTGTTATTACTAATTTTTGCTTATTTATATTGTCTCAATTCCTTCAGTATACTTTATTAGGGCTTCCGCTTAGAAGGTTAACATACTGATGTAAAAAACATCTCAGGGTTCTGTCAATCAATTTTATTGCTTTAATTTGACACTTTTCCCTTTCCACCCATCCGGAGGTGTTTTACAGGTGGACCAATAATAGGCTCAAGGTGAAGGACACTCTTCTTAAAAAGGATCTTTCACTTTTCATTCTTGCTATTTATCTCCGAAGACAGAATTTTCCAGGTTGTTTTCTTTGCTACTTTTTCAGTGTTTTACTCTAGCACTACTGGTCAGAATTAGCAGCATTACAAGCACCCAGAATTAAGTCCATACGGCACATGTGAAACATAACGTTACGCTAGGCACTAGACCAGACTGTTGCTGCTTCTTCTAACATTTGGTGATTATGTTCACTGGAACTGCATAGTACTGATTTAAGATTTTTGTTCGGTTTAACAATGTGAAATAGCAGGGATTACTTGAGGCACTGAAAGCACGTAGCATTCTGCATAGACAAACTAAGACCAAGCAGCATGACTGGGGGTTTAGGTCTCATTTTCTTCTCTGCTTAGTATTCCAAAGCTTATTACTAGTAAAAGGAAAAATAAATTTTTCTTTGTCTCCAGTCTTGCTGCCACATCCATTTAACAACTAGGAAAAATAAAAAGTCTTTTCTATGTCTTGTTCATAAAGACAACCACAAGTGTCTTTTTTCATCAAACTCTCAATGGAATATACCTTGTTAGTTCCCCCTCCCCCTGAACCAATTTGAAGCCAGATCTCAAAACAAAATCAGCTGCTTTTTTCCACAGATGAATGCCCGTCTACTCCTCCTTCACTCTTTTGAGCTCCGGTCATTTGTAAGCATCTACTCTTTCCAGCTTTTTGATTTATTAGTTTTAGTGTCATCGTCTTTACTAGATGCACTGTAGCTGCACTGATTAATAACACTTTTCTCCTCTTCTTCCATACAGGTTTTGATCCGAAATAGCGGAGGAAACGGTTTTTGTGGAGGGAGCTTAATCAACAGCCGCTGGGTGGTCACAGCTGCTCACTGCCTTGATCTCGTTAGGCCACACCATGTTACTGTGGGTAAGTACTGCTCATGCACTGTATGTTCTATAAACCTAGAGGTAACCTCTTAAAATACGTTTTATGTTGTACGTAAGCAAGGTTTGGTTGAGAAACAACCAGAGCTGCCCACGCAGATTTGGATTTACTCTGCCTCCTCCTTGGCAACAATCAAGTGTAAAGGTGTACAGCTACTCCCTTTTGTTTTCACAAGAATTTGACACCTTATGGCAGAAAGGCATTGACAGGATTTACAGTTAAATCCCTACACAGGAATCCCTATTCTCTGTAAATGGTTATTTATCTAGTCAATAACTGTTTTGCCCCTAAAGAGCTAACTGGTGAGTTTGATTTGCGGGATCACAGCTGCAATATAAAAGGTTATTTTACAGAGCTTGCTCTGGTTTTCACCTGTAGCTTCTTGGGCCAAAAGGTCAAAGCATTAATCCACTGAACTTCCTTTTAGCCCCTGAAGCTGCAGTTCAGGCCATTTACAGTTCACATTTTAACTTTCCATGACCACAGGTGACTTTGACAAGTATCGCAGAGAACTGCATGAACAGAAGATTGGTGTGGAACGGAGCTGGACTCACCCGCATTACGACTCGAATGACTACAATAATGACATCGCCTTGCTGTACTTGAGCAGTGATGTTGTGTTTAACGAGTACGTGCTCCCCATCTGCCTTCCCAGCCCTAACCTGGCAGCGCTGCTGTCCGAGGAAGGCACCGTAGGGATGGTAAGCGGCTGGGGTGCCACTCACGGCAGGGGTTCAACCCTGCGCTTCCTGATGAAAGTCAGGCTGCCCATTGTAAGCATGGACACGTGTCAGCAGGCAACAGACAGAATCCTCACCGATAACATGTTCTGCGCAGGCTACGCCACTGAGACTGCAGATGCCTGTAAGGGCGATAGTGGTGGCCCTTTTGTAGTACCTTACCACAACACCTGGTTCCTTTTAGGCATTGTAAGCTGGGGCGAGGGCTGTGCTGAAAAAGGCAAATATGGTGTGTATACAAGAGTATCCAATTACATTGCGTGGATTAAAGAGACTGTTGACAGTGTAGCAGATTCAGAAAAGTTTTCAATTAACTTTTCTTAATAGCATCTTTTAAAAAAGTGATTTTTTTATTAGTGTTTCAGTCTGAGACACTATTCAGTTCCTGTCCTTAGTGAACAGTTAAGAATGAACAATTTAACAAACTATGGTAAACAGAGACTCAAGCATTATTAAGCAAAATACTTACGTATAATAAAGAATTGATCCTTTAAGTACAAAGGAGACAACTGCAACTTTTTGTTTATGTAAAGTTCCAAACAAACCCAAACCTTCCTAAGAGGTTGTACTTTTGCTGTTGTTACTTGGTTTTGTTTGGTTTTTAGAGCAAGATAAACCTTCTGCTTCTCAATAATACATTCACATCACAAAAGCAAGCTAAGGGTCCTGTATGTGAATTAGTCCCTTTAAAAATGACATGCTTTTCTCATAGTGTTTGTTCTATAGTTATGAAACACCATGCTGGATACAGTAGTTAGTTAAGGATCTATGAGGTTTTATCATGTGTGCAACTGTTACTTTAAATACAATTCATTTTACTAAAATACAAATGCTTTCTGATACAAAAACAATGTTTGAATAGAATCTTGTATTACAAAGTGCACTGGATAAACTCTCTAGGAGAGAGAACTCACCTGGCTGCAGTTAAACAGAAGAATTACTTGGTAGAGTTTTGAAAGAAAATCATTACTTTACCAGGGTGAGAGGAAGAAGGAACTGCTGCAGCTGGTGAGGAAAGGTGTGCAGATGGGGTGTGCGCCTCACCCATCCAGCTCTGGGCAGAGTACCACAGAACACAAAGCTGCAGGAGCAGCAGACAAACAGAGCTGCCTGTTTTCGTACCTTTTTTCTAAGGAAAAAAATATACATATATATGTATTCTAAAGACTCCCTCACCCCCTACGCAATGATGTTATTTAGCTCACACAGTATGTGTTGAAAACCAGCACTTCAAACACAAAGTATCTGTGAACACACTTGACTGGGGAGGGAAAAAGAAATAAAAAAAAAAACATCCTACACATATATAAGAAACATCTTCCTTTTATGATAGAAAATTTTAACTATGTGCACCTAGCCATTCTTCTAAGAGGCTATTTCTCCACATCATTAGCAGCTCCACATGCTTCATACAAGTGCTCAATGACAAAGATGCAGATGAAACAAAATATCCATGGGCCAGAGTAAGATTCCCCAAATAGTTACCTGCTTTGCATACCTACACTGCCATACACAATCACTTTTCTCTGCTACAATTAACAGATGGTCTTTATGACCCATGTCCAAAGACATTTTGATTTGGGGACTTTTCTTACAATTCACTATTAAGTTCTAATTAAAAAAAAAAAAATGTACATTACTAGGTCTCCAGCTTTGTTCACAGCCTTATAGAAGTCCATTACTCCCACTCTGTAAGAAACAAACCCTTGTTGTTTGTTTGTCTTATAGAACATATGATATAGCACTATTGCGATTAATTTTGATGACAAGAAACTGCATATTGAGGCAACCCAAGACCACCATGGTCTGTACTTCAAGAAAATGCTTAAGAAAAAACAGCACACGACTCCCCCCCACCCCTGAGTGCAGTACCAGACTGCAGTACCAGAACTACTACAAAAAAAAAAAGTCTAAAAAAAAATAAAGTAAAAAGCTCTCCTAATCCATAGGTCACCAGGACCAAATGAAACCTGGGCAGGAACAGATCCATACTGCACTTACTTTCACTTAGTTTGCACCTGCCAATATGGCAGTAAAGAAACCCATCATTCAATAAATTCTTAATTAAAAAAACTTGGAACACTTACCAGACTAAAAACAAAAACCACACACCTGAGATAAGCTACTGAGTCATACAAGTATACCTGGTAAGAGCAGATGAAGTAATCTTGCAACTGGAATTATTTTAGCAGGCTTCAGCACAGGCATTCTTCTTCAGTTTGTGCTCGAAGTTCATGTCCTAACATAGAGCTTTACTTTAGCATCACAGCCCCCCACTGTTAAATATTTCAAATGCAAGCACTCGCATTCTCTCCATTAGCAGTTCCAGCAGACCCTGGGGGTGCGAAGTGCTTTTTATGTCATTCCACACCATGATCTCTACCTCACAGAATTCACGTTAGTCTTCATAAACCAACGGTCTTACTGAAATGCCAGCTGCCAGTTCTCCACGCAAGGAGTGATCCTTTCCTTGTAGACAAGCTCAGCAGACAAAAATACTTTCAGAGGCAATGGTACAGAGCAGAGGTACAGTTTTGCTCCGCAGCCTCAGGGACAAATAGCAGCATTATCTACCTAATGCAGACAGAAGCCTTCTCCTTACCACTGATAAAATAAGCCTTTCAGAAGGTCCTTAGTAGGCTACAAACAACATGTTTGTTCCACCCAGACATTACAGCAGGACAAAAAAAGGTAAGTGTCTTTCACCTGTACTAAATGAAGTCACAGCAGCATCAAAACCAGCAGCCAAGGCTCTACACAGGCGGAGTCCTGAGCTGAGCACTCTGACAGTCCTCTCCAGCAGTCTCAACACCCTTGACTCCAAAGCCTGGCTTACCATACACATACTCTGTGCTCTGGTGCCTCACAGAAAAGCCCTCCCACTCCAGTCATTTGCTCTCCAGAAGCAGTCACTGTTGAAGGCTTTGCTGTTAGCACAAAGGCTCAATACAAGTGGAATATTGTTGCCTTACTTACACCAACCATTTTAACTGGAGGCAGCTGGATTTTTTTTGGCAGTCAGCCTTCTGGTCTTCTCTTGAACTTTGCATCATGCATTCATGAAAGGTGAAATCCTTCAAGCAGAAGATGATCGGTATTTCTGTTATCAATTCCAATATGCATCTCTCAAAAGACAGATACACTGACATATTAAATATCACTGAACAAATAAGAAATGCAAAATGGTAAACACAAAATTCCTGATTATCAGCCTTTCCACATGTCAAGTACACTTTTTTGGGGGGAAATTTCAGATATTCACTGTCTTCTCAGGACTCCACGTGTACACTGTCTTGAGCAATTAATAGACAGTCCCCCCAAAAAAACAGATGTTTTATTGTCTAAAGTATTGCAATACAACAAATATGTGGTCTGTACAAAGGACACAATAGAGCAAGTTTAAATACAATCAGGAGAAAGAAGTCCCCAAATTCACAGTCCTCGGACATTATCTTATACCAGAACCTGAACCAACAATTTAAAGATTCACTGAAAAAAAAAAAGTTGTTAAAAAATTTAAAGGTCTCCCAAGAGTCTATGGGTGTATTGTCTTACAGCAGAGATCATGGGGTATTCCGTGAAGGGTCACAATGGCATCTTATTGCCCTCAATGCTGATTTTCACTGCATGGGCCGATCTGCTTTTTTTCCTGATATCTGTGAATTTCCGCATCTGTTTGTCCAGTCGACTCACCCCTTTCTTAGAGGTCCCCTGGAACTTAAAAAATAAAACTAATAATTACCACTGAAAAAAAAAAAAAAAAAAAGCAGACGTCCCAAAGGTTCAAGAAAGCAACGCATGCAAGGTTCGACCTGCAAGAAGGATCTGATGCAGTCAGTGGTGTGAGGGCTGGGAGGTGTGAGGAGGGGGTGCACACATTTTCCCCTCAGCCCCACCCCAGCAGATAAATAATCCCCCCAGTGTATGCATCACATATACAGAAGTGGTCACACACACACACCACAGAGGAAAGCTTTCCCATTGTGAGGATTAATAACCACGTTAGTTGTTCACACACTGGGTGAATATACAGTTTGGAATAGTTTCATATCTGTATCAGCTGGAGTTTAACAACAAACATCCTTCACCACATACAAGCTTCCCGTGGGTGGAAGATTTTAGATATGGCTACACAGTAACTGAAGTGGGTTGAGTTGACATATCAATTCCAAACTGCAATTTATTTTAGAAGTCACTGATTAGTACTTAAAAAGCAAGAGATTATTGGAAAAGAAGGAAGTAAGGTTGGAAGCAAAAGAAATGCCTGAGAAAGGCTGACCATACACATTGTCAGAAAGTTGCTGCATTTCATCTCCGTATTTTAACTGCAGCTGAGAAACTGAGATGACACAGCAGGTTTTTGTTTTGTTTTTTTAACACAAATACAGTAATTCTGTAGAGAAACGCCACTGGAGAGCGACCTCATGATCCCTTTAACTTTCTCAAAAGCAATTTTCCTTAACTAGACAACAGAAACAACAATAGCAACTTCATACCTTTTAAGTCCGGGAAAAAATATCCAGATATCCAGAATATGCTACTTAGTACCTGACAAAACCATCTATGAAGAGCTGAACCTCTCGTTCCCATCTCTGAGGTGGCTGAGGTGGGGTTCCTCACCCTCATTTAATACTTTATTCATAAAACTATCCACTGAAGTTGTATCTAGGATTTCACTGATTTTCGAAAGATTTTTTTTTTACAGAAATAAATATGAAGCTACCCTTCTGTCACTGTTTGTGACACCTCTGCTCACTGAAAAGAACTGAAATGAGACAAGATATTGCCCAAACGGTTCTCATGTTGATGTACGTCAATGACTGATCTCATTCACAGCAGGGAATTCTGCCCTGTTCTCCTCCTGCTGTCAACCACCCCCTAACTCTCCCATCAGTCAGTGACCTTGGATAAGTAGGCATAAGAACTACCTTGTTTAGTACCAGTAAAACAGGCACAGGTGTTAGTACACAGTGCTACGAAGTCTGACATTAAGAGCTAAGACCTCCTGTGTCAGGTCAGGCAAACCTTGAGAACCTAAATGAGAACAGGTTTCCCAATGCTCAGTCTCGCTCATCTTGGTGTTGAGCACCCAAAGCTACAGGTGCAAAGCTATTTCTGAGCACAGGTATTTTCACTTAATACTTCTCATTCGGACACCCTGAAGCCACAGAGGCAGGCATCATAGCAGACGTTACGTGCTACAACGTCCTGTTTCCTGCACAAGTTACCATTTAGGTCTCGGTACAGACTTCAGAGAATACAAGGAGAGTTTTCCAAGTTGAAGTTAGGGTGTACACACTCCTTTCCCGTATGTGCAAACTACCAACAGCTGAAGCACAAGCACTGTTCACACCTCCCTTGAGGGATACCTCTCAAACTCGGGGAAGGCAGTGTCATGGCTACAGGGGCATCCTGTTGCCTTCAATGCTGAACTTGATGGCCCGATGCACTTTGCTGAGTCGTTTCTGTTCAGCAAACCGTCTCTTGTGTTTTTCCAAGCGACTAATACCTCTCTTAATAGTCCCGGGCTAGAAATAATATCTCAATTAATGCAAAGAAGTAAAAATAACAGCAGAAAAAATCACAATAATTATTACTTCTTCCATTTACATGTGTTCTACCACGTACTCCAACCTTTAGATTAAAACCATACAAGGTAGATAGAAAAAACAAATAGAACACAGCCAAGGCCTCTACTGAAGCCTGCTAAAACTTTGAAGTTTTCACAAACTGGAAAATCATCCTAAAAAAGAACACGATACAAAAAAAATGGAAGAAAGATAAAATATTGGTGACATGCTAATTAAACTGCTGCTTTATTTTAAGATGTTCTAAAATTAAGAGGCCTATAATCAGATTCTTACCCCTAGAGAAAAGCTCTAGAACAGATAGGATGAAAATCTCTTTCTGGTAAGAGAAGCAATGATACCTGAGTGGAAGAATTTGATGGGCTTAACACAGCCCATTGGATAGCAGAGCTTGTTGTCTACTCAAATTAGAAGAGGCACATACAAGGAACTGCTGTACTGTACAGTAACCACAGCAATAAGGCGACAGATTCCCAGACAGCTGAGGTACAGAGTCACTAAAAGAGACTACGCTATGCCCTGCACTGCAGCACTTACCCTAGAGGACTCCATCTCCACATTCCACTTTGGCCTAACCACATAGTCCTTGTTGGAAGGCATTGGCACCCTCGCACGGGCACAGAAACCAGGGTCTCCAGGTCTAAGAGCCCTGCAAAAGAGAAATGTTGTTTTTAGACACAGAAATCTCACATAGGAAGACTACTACAGATAGTATTCTACCTCTGGAAAAATGAGCTTAACCACTGACTTTAAAAAAAACTCAAACTGCACATTTTTTGCACTATTAAAATACTTTTTTCTAGTCAAAAGAATAAAAATTGCAACCTACTTTTCCTCTCCTGTTAATACTTTCTCCAGATCCCTGCGGGGAGTCTGACCACCAGAGCTACAAGAAAAATAAGATTTTACAGGCATCCACACGCAAAGAAAGAGAGCAACAAAAAGACAAGTGTGGTAAGAGAAGAAAGATCAGAAATCATTGTTCTTTTATTTCCCTTGTTACTTATACAAAACTTTTCTTGTTGAAGACTTAGAAAGAAAGAAAATTTCGTTTCTTTCTGGTATTCTTACCTACTCAATCTTCTTCGCTGAGGCATCTGTTCCAAATCTCTCTGTTCCCTCTCTTCTCTTGTCATGCCTTTGTAGTTTGAGGTAAGGCCAAAGATGGGTCGAGACCATTCATCTAGTAAATAAATAGGTTAATAAGCACATCAAATTTCTCTAAAACATTCTGATAACTAAACACAGCTTTCAATGTTCACTTCTACTTCCCTTCAACCACACAGATGATTTTTGAACTCTTAATATTTCAGGGAAATCCAACCTTGTGGACAGTAACAAACTGCTTTCATCCATAAAGTCTCTTGCTATTGCTTGCTTTTTTAGAATCTCTCTTAGCTCTAGAAATATTTAAGTGCCAGAAACTCCTGCATGCCACAGTGTTATTTTAGAAAAATGAAAAATACTTCCTGAAGAACAGATCAATTCTGGAATTAGTTTGCAGTCATTCATGGAATACACTACACATGACTATAGCTGTTTAAGAAGTAAATTTTTAGATGGTCATTTAACACCTCTCCTCCATGTAATAAATGGAGTACCTTCCTCCTTTGCTAACAGGTAGATGAGGTCTGGACAACTAGCCAAGAGAGAATTTGGGCAACATAAAAGCTAATTATCTAGTTTTACAGCAGAACAGGAAAAACTGCATGCAGACATTAATGTAACAGTGTTCAATACGAGCTCTGCAAACAAAGCTATCACAGATTAATGAGATTCCTACATTGCAGAGTTAGTTCTAGTACAGACAATAACAACATGCAACAGAAAGACTGATGCAGAAATTAAATTACCAGTGAAATCTAACTGAAGGAAGACAAAAGGTTTACATACTGATTAGCTTCCCTGCCATATCTTTGTTAGGTCTCGATTCTTTGGGGTGTTTGTAAAGGTACATCACAGCTCTTCCAATTCCACTGTGCTTCAGGGTCTCTTGGCTCACGCTGGGCAGCTATAAGGAAGTTTGGGAAAAAAAAACAAACAAGAAATGATGTCTGAACAGTAATGATGTGAACTTTGCAAAAAACAAAACCTACCTTCACAGTAATCTTGGAAAAAAGTGTTTTGGCACTTTTCCACTAGGAATAAGTTAAAGGTTCAAGTATCAAACACCCAGACATAAATGTACTTGAACATTCTTATTTCTTATACACAAATTGAGCTAAGTTTCCTGAAATATTTACTCCAAATGCTCATGTGTTTATGTTACCCCAAAACAGAATTACTGCCTTCTAAGCATTCATTTTACAAGGATAAAAGTTTACATGGCAAAAGCCACATATTCAATTATAACCTAAATCAGTCAGAATTTGTGCAAATTCTTATGCAACGACAAATTTCTAAAGCTTCAGTGAATAGAGTCAAGCAGTCATGCTGCAAGAGAAATTTAACTTCTGTTCTGCTATCAAGACTATGCCACGCTAATTTTACAAATGTAGCAAAGGCTACTTAAAGTGAACAATCACAACATATGAGCCACAGAGAACAAGGGAAGATAAGTCGCTAAGCCATTTAGATTCATCAAGAATCTACAAAAGCCATAGCATGTACCTCCCTGATAGAGGATAGGGAACTTCACACATATGGTTCCCATGAGACAAACATCTCCTGGCTGACTGCCAGCAGAGCTATTTGCTTTATTGTGAAAATAAGCAGAAATTTTGTAATGATTATGTGCCTGAAATTCCCTAGCCAAATTTTGCTCAGATAGACGGCATATCTACAACATACGGAATACTCCCTAAAAGCGATGTGAAATTTAAACCAAACTTATTTAACTTGCTGTTTGCTTCCCCCTACATTTCACACTGCATGGATCATCAGTAACATCATCAGCAGTTATCAACACACATTTCTGTAAAGCATGACCATAAAAAACTGAAGCTACCAATCAAATACAGTTAGAAATCAGTTTCAAACCTCTTGCAGGATTTTCAGAAGCTCCTCTCTTATCTTCAGTGCTGGCAGACTTCGGTCTGGAAGAGGAGAAAGCCATTCTTTGATGGCAGACATTACACCACTATCGATGAAAGTTTCTTTGAGGTCCTGCCTAGAAAGTTTAATGTATAGATAAGCCATGAAGTCATACAGGAATACACCTAGATCTTAAGATGTGATGGTCCTTGAAACACCACAGTATGTTTGAGTTTGTTAATTTAACAGGTAAAACTAGGGATCATTTTTCATTTTTTTGAGGTCACCTAGCTCCAGCATTTACCTGATACTAAGAAAAGCGTTTCACTGCATACTCAATACAACTGTAACGTCACCCTATGAAATCTACCAAGTTCCCAATATTCCCAAAGATGATAATCATCTGGAAGAATGACTCACTTTTTAAGATGCATAACTACAGTCGGTAGCAAAGTTAATTTCTTTAGTGCAGGTTTCTTTTGTGTATTCAGCTGTCGATCCTCCTGTAGAGAGTTGAAGAATTGCAAGTCAATCAAAAGAAGAAATCAGCAATTCCCACCCAATGCAGTATTTACAGGAAAAAAGTCAGTAGCAAGTTACTGGAGAATTCGCCATTAGCAGGACCACACTAACTTTATAACCTGGTTCTATCTTCCTACAGTTCCAAAATACATTGTATACAATAGTTTCTCTTAAAAAAAAATCCCCACCTTAATCAACATTCTCCTGGAAAGAATGAACTGTGTTTCTACTTCACAATTTACGTTTATTGCAATAAACTGGAATTCTGCAGGGTCCTGTATGCTAGCTATGCGTAGCTATCCTAGAAATGCTCATAGCAAATCTCACCCAAACTACAACAAATAACTAACCAAAACAGTAACAAGTGAAAATACATGCATTCACATCACCTAAGAACGTAACTATAAAACCTGGTGGTTTAGAGGGATGCATGGTAGAATTAACATTAAAGCATGCATACGTGTATGAAGTGCTAGAACAAAAGCTGTCTCAGTTTCAAAACAATGATGTGATTCCCACCTCAGTCCATTATCTCACTATCTATTCAAAATGTGGGATTAAATATCAGAGAGACCCACTACAATCAACAGATTTGTCTCCTGCTGTGTTTGTACCTTTCCAGGTGCTTAACTCACTGAAGGCTCTTTCTACACAATGCTTTTTTAATTGTGAGAGAGGAGATTCTTTTAATGCTCTTCTGTTCCAGAATAGCTTTATAGGCACATGCTAAACAACTGAAGATACCACAGCACTGGAGCTCAGCTCTTCCTCTCTCCAGTATTCCAAACTTCATTGCTTTGTTTAAAACATTTGACCACTATCTTGTTGATGACCAAGAAAGCCACAGTTGTCTCCCAGACCACTATCTTACTCTGCCCTTCTTCCCCAAACACATTAAGAAAGACTCCTCTTTCTAAAATTGCCCCCCAATTGCTTTTAATGAGTTTCACCATGCTGTTAAATTGACTGCTACTTCAACAATAGTACAGCAATAACAAAAGGCAAGACCCTGGTAATAAAACACAACTCCTTAAAAGAAGCAGTCTGCCAAGGTATAACTCTATTGTTCTACAATCATCTACCACATTATTGTCATTCAAGCCCTTCAGAAAAGGTTTCTTCTCAGGAACAAACAATTAAGTACTGTATATACTACTAATTGCAGGGTGAAATCAAACCGTAGTCCCTATCTCAGGATTTGATATACATACATTTTACATAACATGTATTCATCCCTTTTTATAGGGCAGTTGATCCCAGCTGATCAGTTTACCAAGTTAACTAAATATCATCTTTAAAACGAAGCAGTAATTCAGACTAGCAAAATGACATTAAACAGTTGTTTAGATACTGGAAGCTTTCAGTAGCGTACAGCTTACTACTTCTGAGTAACAGATACCTCTATTTTACTGACTGCACAGGGAAAATCGGTGTTTTTGGAACCTAGAAAACCCACCTCTGCAGCTTCATTCATCTTCACAATCATAGCACTGACCACATCATCTGCATCACTAATAAAAGTTCCACCATCGCGGTTTCGTCTACGCTTGCCACTCATACTCTTCTTTCGCTGCAGCATCATGTCAAAATCGGACATGAAGTCCATACTGAAACGCAAGAAGAAAGTTTGCTGATGTTCAGAAGAGGGTTGATTTCACCACCTTTGTAGAAAATATTTTTTATTTCTTTAACAACCGTTCCACAAATCTCTAAGAACTCTACAAGCATTATGTCTCAATGCCCCCGTAAGATAATTAGATCTCCTCAGTATGCTAACTGGGAAATTAGAAAAGGGCTTCAGCAGCTCTGAGATGCCCTCAGAAGTCTGTAAAAGACCTTACTAAAACACCTAAAGAGATGCACACATCCAGGGTTGAAAATGTGCTAAAGTTGTCACTGAAGCAAATATTTAGCTTTCCTGTACCTGCAATACATTGCTCTAACTCTAATTGATCAGACAGGAAGGAAAGAGGAGAGAAGGATGGGGTCAAGCCTTGGCACACCTTATCCCCTGCAGCAGCAGAGGAACAAAACTGTGGCTCCAGCGCTCCTTCGCATGGCCCGATGCTAGGAGCAGGGTTAGATGTTTGTTTCATTAGATGTTCGTTTCATTCAGGTTTTGATATGACCTACAAAATACTACTACTTCTCTGGAGCAGGAGCAGCAGCATAGGCAATCTGCTATGGATTGCCAAGTGACTGAACTGTACAAGCAGAGAAAGTCATGATCTATAAAAACATGCTTTCTGTAGACACACAGCCCCTTCCTTGCCTTTCGTGAAGTCTAGCCAAGTTTTGGATGAACCTTTTTGCTCAAATATTGCATTTTCTATTAACAAAGGAGTACGTAACATATCCACTTACTGCTTCCCTCGTTTGATGTTATCATCAGAGTCCGACTCATCTGCTGTCTCCTTCATCTCTGCATCACCCTTCTCTTCTTCCAAGTCCTCCTGGTTAAAGCCCTGATGGTAAAGGCAGTGTAAGTCAGTGTAGGAATTAAGACAAAGCATCTACGCAGGTGCCTGACTCTTACACTCTAAATGCTTCCTCTAAATCCCCTTCAGATTTACCTGAAAGAGGAACAAAAGATTCCTAATTTCACCTATGACTGTCACAACAATGGCTCTCCCAGTAGTAGCACTGTGAAGGTTATTTAATTCATTGAGTCCAGCAGATAAAAATCTTCATCCCAAAACAGTACATCCTTGAACACGAATGCAAACCCCAACAGGCATTCTGGGAATAGCTTCCCATGAAGATTCCACCTGGCAACCCAATAAGAAACATCCCCAATAGCACTTACGGTAAATTCCTCTTCTTCCTCATCACCAGATTCTCCAAATATATCTGCAATCAGGTTCCTGTGAAGGTAATAGTAACACTTATCTATTTATACTGCAGTAGCGAGAACTGCATTTCCTGAGAAATTTCTAATATGGCTGAGTGGAGATCCACTTTCCATTCTGCCACACTGCCCTTCCTCTTCACGCTACCAATAAAAGCAGACATTCATTCTCTGGTTGGTTTTCCTCCATTTCCCCATCAGTGACCAGCATCACTACCTGCAGCCCTGAAGGAATTCATATTCCCAGAAGCACTTACTCTTGTTCGTTTCCAGATTCACTGTCACTGCCAAACAGATCTTTCTCTTCTGTTTTCTTCCCAGCATTCTCTTTTCTTTCTTCCTCTTCTTCACTATCTGATACCATATTTTTCTTCCTTTTATCAGATTTCTCTGAGGCAGCATCGCTATCTGATTCTTCAACATCAGAAAGGATTCGTACTTTTTTTGCAGCTGCCAACAGAAAGAAGCATTACTGCCTGCCCAAACATAATTGCCATTTAAAAAAAATTATGTCCATTCTAAAATCTTTTTTATTCAGTTGGTAACTAACTACATACAGTACACCATCCATACAAACTTGTCATTTCAGAACTTACTCTCACCCCTAGTGTATCTTAGAAAATATAGAGAAAAAACAGCAAAGTAAAGAAGTACAATGGAAATACTCAACATGAAAACATGTGCCAGCATAAAGCAATGTTACTGCAGAATATATATATACTTTTACTTGTGTTAAACCTACCTATTACTCCAAAACATTAGATACATATTCACACAGAAATGCAGTGAGAACAATACCTTCTCCAAAAGCAGTTGTACTTTAAAAGCAAAACCACTTTGTGGTTTCACATTTATCTTAGATGCTTTCCTCACATAAAAATAAGGAATTAACAATAACGCTACTACTTGTCATGTCACATTTTTATTTTCATACTAAAGTTGCTTACGTGCTTTCTCAGTGTCATCCTCACTGTCAGAAAGGATGGCTGTTTTCCTCTTCACAGTCTTCTCCTCTTTCTCATCTTCATCGCTGTCTGAGATTTTTCGTCTCTTAGGACCTTCCTCTTCACTGTCAGAGCCCTGAAATCCTTCCCTCGCACGTTTGTTATCTGAATGATGAGAATCATTCTGCACCTCCTCCTTCCTGTCCTCCCCATCACTGTCATCAGACTCTATTTCTTGTTTGTGCCTGGGAGCAGACTCGCTCTCCGAGTCACTGGCCGGCTGCTTGCGGACCTCCTCACTCTCCGAGTCACTGGCCGGCTGCTTCTGTGTTTCCTCATTTTCAAAGTCACTACTGTGATCCCTGTGAGGTTCTCCATTTTCAGAGTCACTAGCTTGATGATTTAAGGCATCTTCATTTTCAGAGTCACTTAAATGCTGATTTGGACGGTCCTCAGCATCAGAGTCACTGTCTTTCCCTCCATGATCTGCTTCATTGTCTGAATCACTTGCATTGTGATTTGGAGGCTCCTCGTTATCTGAGTCACTGTCTTTTTGCCTCGGTACATCTTCATTTTCAGAGTCTGTCATATGAGGCTCTCCTGTTTGCCCATCCTCTTCTCCATCACTGTGTTCATTCTGAAAAAAGAAAAGTAATTTTAGGCAAGCAAGCAAAAATCTATATAAAAAAGATTTAAAAAAAGAAAACAAGAAGTGTTTTGTGTTTTTGCTTGTCCTTCCTCCCATGTGATTGCCAAGGGTACTGCAGACTGAAATACTTTATTTTACATATATAAAATATATACAGAAATTAGATGATTTGAGTCAAAGGACTCACTATCGTATACTACAGATCAAGAAAAATATTAAGAGATCAATAGAACACCATCCATCCTGCTACTCAATCCTATTTTAGAAACAGAATCCAAAAAAAAAAAAAAACATCTCAAGTGAAGAGGCCCAAGAAGGGTCCAGTCCTTCGAGTGTAAATACTTAATTACTTCATTTTAAGAAGTGAGGCCTTCAAAATGGTTTAGTCCAAATCCTACAAAATAAGGCAAGTAAACAGACTCCCACACTGGTCATTTCTAAAGATCTCAAATAGACATTTTTGTACGAAGTACATTTTACTGAAACTGCATGTGTTACTTTCAGAGTAAAGCTCAAGAGAGCTTGCACCCTCTCCTTACTTAACAATACGCCAAGACCAAAAGGCCTATAAAAAACAGGAATAAAGTTTTAATTAGAGCCTTAAGAGCATTATTAAGAAGCTTTGGGTTTCGGTGGGTAAAAACCTAAGAACAGGTTCAACAGTTCTCTCCCTTACGCTCACAGCTCCCATGCCTACACGGATACCTGAGATAACTTGTGTGTATAAACACACCAACCTTCTGAAAACTAGTGAAACGCAATCCTTTATGTCTTCTACACAGTAACAACAGAGCCAAACATTCCATTTATGGAAAACTTCAGCAAGCCACCTGTCTCTATCCTTACTGATGACAGAATGCAGTTTTATCTTTCCTAGAAGATCTAAGTTCCACTTGGAAAAAAATGCATTTGCCTAAGAAAACAAAATTGGACTCTCTTGAACGCCCGTGCCTTAATTCAGCATGTCTACAGCAGTCACTGTCACAATAATCCCGTTTTCAGCTGAAAAGAACACTGATGAGAGCCTCTTTCCTAAATACTTCTCGGAGAAGCTTTTTTCAGGGATGATTCTCTCTTCTCAGCTGCGGACTCTAGCACCTTTGCAAACTGAGTATTTACTGTCCTAGAAGATGCTTTAAGACCTACATGTCCTGGAGCTTCCAAGTCTCTTGTTAGCAGTCCCTTCTCCTTGACAGGACAGACTTCCTCTTTTTATTTTCTATGGTCATTCCACACCCACACACAACAACACAGGTGTATCTATCCTACAGGTATGACAAGCAATATTATTTATCTTTATGACATATGAATAAGAAGGTCTTTTAAAATAAAACAAATAATAGCTTTTAGGAATTACTCCTTCCACAATTATATTAACTGATAAATAACATCACTTTTTAAGATTCTGGATCTTATGCATTTATTCTCTTAGCTAGTACTTGATAAAGTGACAACTTCTGAACAACTGCAACATTACTAACAGGAAGTTACACACTGGAACAAAATCAGGACTACAGAATTTTAAAACACACTTCAAATACCACTTCACTGCTTCCAAGTTACCTAACGCTAGCTATAGAACTGCAGCTGTGATAACTCGAGTACTCTTCTGTCTCCTGCTTGTATGTGACCCTACAGTGGTGTCAGCCTTTTGAACCACGCTGGTGGCACCATTCGGTATTTCTCCTTTCTCCTTACAGAGCGGAGATACAGTTCAGTTAGAAATCTGAAACTGGAATTTTAAAGAATTAAATAGGAAGAAGTTACAGAATTGAGGGTGCAGAACTGAGGAACACCACACACCCAAACTGCTCCCTGTTTCTCACAGGATTTTATTTTGTGCTCTTCATCAAGATGATGTATTTTCTCTCACAGTATTAATGAAGAAAAAAAAGCTACAGCTGCAAAGGGAGGAGGAAATCCAGATTTTACAACTATGTTACAGATTGGATCACTGAGAGGAGAAGAAATGCAGAGGTCTACACTTAAGTTGACACTTATTAAAATACACGTTCTTCACTCCTTATTTCTGTGCCATTTAATGTTTGGTGGTTTTATTTGTTTTTTCCTGATTTCAGATGGCTGATACTGAGTAGGTACTTATAACTATGTCAGCAGCAATAAAGGATTTTGCTAAACAAAACCAAAGAAATCAACAGAAATATTTCTGTTTAAACTATTAGGTTTACTATCTACCAGACTAGAAAGTCTTCAGCAAAAAAGTAAACAGAATTAAAGAACCAACTTGAATTTATAACAATTCTTAGCCACTCAACGTTTTTAAGGTTGAAAGCATAGCTGCAGGTTACGCATGCTCCTATTCAGGATACATTGCTAAACTACAAAGAAGCTCCTATGCAAAATACTTGGTAAGAAATCATTCCAATTATATAGCAGTATTACTAAAGCATTTTACAACATACTGAACCTCAAATCTGTTATGCAAACTGACAGTCACTCTTCAGAGGGAAGCTATTTGGGGAGGGGAAGCATCCACACATCCTAATTAGCTCACACCATGATCATATGGTGCTTTGCACCACAGGATCATGATGGTAATTACAGCTTCTCAACTCCACTGCGATACCATCACCTACAGAACCACTTAAGAGAGAACTCAGGAAAACACAGGTAACAGGTGTCCCGGCACGGGTTGGACAGACAGGTATCATCTACTCCAGTCCTGAACCTGTAAAGCACAACTCAAGCTAACCCAAAAGCACATAGCTGGACAAGCCAAGACAGCCAGCCCTGCAGTGGGACGACACGTGCTACCTCGGACTCAGCACTACATCAACGCAACTGAGCAGCTTCTAAAGCGGAGGGGAGACACACCTGACTCACTCAGAACCTAGGCAGAACAAACAGGCCCTGTCCACAGCCATTTGTTGGTGCAAGGTCTTCTGAATAAATTAACGCATCTGTGAATGTTTTGGAATGTATTTCATGTAGGAAGTAAGTGCAACTTCACAATGAGATGACTAAACTCTGCAGGACAGTCCACCTGCATCTCTCCCCTACCACCCCTCCCCCCTTTTCTTTTAAAATGATTTGTCTCTAAAAAGGTGTGTTCAAAGAAATCAATTATGTTATCTTGGAATATTCTATTTTTATTTTTCCAATTATTTAATTAAAAGTTTAGACATCCTCAAAAACAAGTAGGTCTCAGGTAATTGCTACCACATTTTTCTGTAATTCCTTTGCTTTCTTTTCTTCCTCCTCTTTATCTATAAACTTCTTAATTGAGATGTCCTTAATTTTTTTAACTGAAAGAATTCTGTAACATGAGGCTTTAGTACAGTATAAAGTAAGGAATACATAAAAATCAAATTTACAGTGTTATCCTTCCATATAAAGCTTCAGTCAGCAAGTAGTTTATGGGATCAACATGCAGCCACTTTTAAGATGTACTATTATGGTAGTTTAATAAGTTCAATAGAATTGACCCATCCACTACAATCTTATGAATGACATTTGTTAAACTAAGGTATACATGACCTTCACGGGCAGATCAGGAAGCTCCTGTTTTCAGAAATGTAAGATATTTGTGCATTTCTTAGCAGTCACAGTCAAACCATAACTTAAATGAAGAAGACAGCAGCAACTTGGTTAGAGTGTAAGATCTAAGCCATTAAAGATTTCCGTATGAGCCTGACTTGTACAAACACTGTAAATGTGATTTAATATTCATTACTGTACTAAAACTATGTGTTATCTAATTCTATTTGTCTGAAACAGAATCAGTAAGGACATCAAGGAGAACATTTATAGATAAAGTGGGACTGGGGGAAGGAAAGCCAGAAAAGAATTGTGGAAAAGAAAAACCCACATACCTGAGACCTACATAAGTTATTCCTCAGGATTCCCCTTTTCTTTAAAGTTAAGAACCTGAAAAAAAAGTTGGAAAGTTTAAAACTTCAGTTCTTTAAATTTGAGTTCTAAATTAGAGACGAAATAGTAATTAAATAGACTTAACTGATTGGGCTGTCTCAAAGGTATTATTACCTTTGAGTGTCATTCCTCCCACATATTCCTAAAGATGAAGGAAATAAGAGGATAAGAAAATTTAAGATAAGTAAGTTACTGAAAGCTACTCTCCTTTTACAGACAGCAGCTCCACGTTATCAGTTGAGTTGCACTTTGATGTACAGAAAACATCAATTTACTAGGAATATAAAAGTTCGTAACAAAAGAAAATACTTAAAACTTTGTGTCTTATAGTGAACGTGAACCTTCAAAGGCCTTAGTACTTGATTCGATGTGGTTAAAATCTTAAAAATCCTTTTTATGTGTGTGTTTTTTAAATGTACTTTCTGTATTGTTTTACCTACAGAGGAAGATTCAACAGCCAACACAGAACAAAGCCCTTACAATAGTGGAGGTACATGAAGAGGATCCGTAAGCAAGGATAACGGGTCCTAGTATTTTTGATTATTTAAATCAGAAAAAGTCATGCCAAAGATGTAAATAATAGTTGACTGTTCTTTAGGCCAGATTTCCAATTACTTGATCACAGTAAGCAAAATTTAAAAATCACAGGAGTACAGAAGAGTAAGAACAACCGACCAAGTCTTCAAACACCAAAGAAAAAGATTAACGTAACTGTAGCAGCAACATGACTCTCCACGCTCTCATCAGAATTTCCTTCCACTAAAACAGAAGCACTTAATCCTTACCAAAGACAGTTATTTCTGTCACACACAAAACCATACATTTTCCCCCACTGAAATCCTGATTATCACAACAGCAAATGCTGCCTGACGACAACTCAATTTCTTCCACTGTAAAGAAGTATCAACAGCTTTAAAAAAATGCAAATCTGCTTTACACTCAAATTCAAGAAAGTGCAAAGAACTTCCCTTTTATACTCTTTAAAAACATATTCATTTACTTTCTAACTCTGATGATACTACGAATTCAGTAAAGAAAAAAGAAAAAGGATTGTTAGTTATACTGCAACAGAGGTGAGGTAGGGGATGGTTAGACCACATGATCTTGGAGTTATTTTTCAACCTTTATAATTCTGTTAGGTTGCATTTTAAGCGAGTTTTAAAGTGGATAACCACTGAAAACCCATTCAGAGTCAATCCTGATCTTTATACAACATGAAACAGAATTTGCAGAACAGAGTATAACGTCTCTGATTTCAATTTTGAAGAGCATCACAAAGCTTTCCATAACAGAACTTTGCTGACAGAAGACAGGATGTCAAAGCTAAAATTAGTCCTTCCTAGAAGGCCCTACAAAGACCTGATGTAATTCTATCTCAAGACAAAAAATTCCTTAAAATTACCGTTAACCCCAGAATTGTCATAGACACAGAACCTTCATTTTTATCAGAATCTCTTTCCAACTACACTAATCAAACCACAAGTTAAGCGTCTCCCCTCCAAAGACAACCCCAGATCAAACACCACCACCCTTTTCATAGGGTAGGATTCTCAAAGCAGAAAGCTCTTCAGAGGAAAGACAAATGCCACTTAGAAACCTGGCTTTCCACAAAGAATTCTATTCCTCTGCAAATGACAAAGTAAAAAATACAGGATAAAATAGTCTTCAGCAGTAACTTTCACATTCAAGAAGAAAGACTAGAGACAAAAAAGCATTCATTCTTTGCTAATGAAACATATGCTCCGTAACGCATGGTTTTACCACGCATTTTACCTTGCAGAATTTAAAGCAAAGTTCTGAATTCCTCAAAATCCATTGCTTACCTTTTCAAGCCCAAAAAATTATCTTTTTGCAATCAAGTACGGCAATATTACACTTTTTCTTTTTTTTTTTTTTTTAGTACAAAACAGGGAATGCTATTATAACAATTTAGGACTGAAATAAAAAGATACTACCCTACTTCTTGGTCAGGAGATTACGTGACACAACCCTTTCGGGAAGTTTTGCCAGACAGGACACTTAAGAACAACTCAAAAAATGTAAAAGTCTCAGTTAAAAGAGCAATATTTCTTTAAAATGAGTATCAGTTTATGAGAGAGCAATCCTTATCTAGACAAAGTTCCCACGGTACCTCAGAGTGGTGCCCTACGCTTCCGTTCTCAGATCCAGAATGCTGCTCATTTCCTTCATCTTCAACATCAGATCCTGAATCTCTCTCATCTTGCACCGGAGTAGCTCCACCGTCATCTACTCCGAATGGAAACAAATAAATTAATTATTTAAAAAGTAAAACTCGGTGACGTCTCCCAGCGCCAAGAAGCGCCCTGACAGCCGCGACGGGTGACCAGGAAGGCAGATAACCCCCAGCAGCGCGGAGCACCGGCGGTGAGCCCCCGGGCAGGGCGGCCGGGAGCAGAACCAAACGCCCCGCAGAGCCCCGGAACGGGAGGACCCCCCAGAGCCCTCGCAGCGGCTCCACATGCCCTCGGGGGCCCGATAACGCCCCGGAGGCCGGCCCCAGCCCCAGCCCAGCCCCGTCCCAGCCCGGCGGGGCCCGGCCCTGGCCGCTGACGGGCGCCGACCCAGGACAGGGCGCGGGGCAGCGCAGGGCCCGGGCGCTCCCCGCGGCCGCTGAGGCCCCGCCGTGCCCGCCCGCCCTCCCGGAGCCCAGCGCCGCTACCTGACTGCTCCCCGCCGTAGTACTCGCTCTCCATGGCGGGCTCGCTCCCGCCTCGGCCCTCGGGGCTGGCGGCGGGGCGCGGCCCCCGGGGCGCCGCTCCACCGACCTGCGCCTCCGCCGCCCGGCTCAGCCCGGCCCAAGATGGCGCCTCCCCTCCGAACGGCCAACGGCCGGCACTGCGCGTGCGCCAGCCCCCTGCCCCGGGCGCCCCGGCGGGGCCGCTCTCGCGAGACTTGGACGGGAGGGTGGGTGCCATCTTAGGGCGGTGCGGGCGGTGTGAGGGGGAGGCGTGTAATCGCCAGGTGCGGGGCGGTGAAGCTAGTTCAGAGTTTCTTATTTCTAGTTTCTTTTTTTTGTTTGTTTGTTTGTTTCTTGTACTGTTAACTAGTTTTAGTTAAGTACTGAGGCAACTGAAGAAGGCTATGAGATAAAAAGACTATGTTGAGCCCTTGTATCAACGCGGAAAGGAGTACAGAAATGTAAAATGCTTGTTGTTTTAATAAAGGTGGTTCCTTGTATGGGCATTGGGGAACTTGCAAGAGACTTAAAACACAGAAAATATTAGGAGACTGTTTACACACTGTCCAGAACTAAACTCGTTACCCAACTTTTACCTTCAGCTGGTCTAAGGAATGTCTGGTAAAAACACCTCCAAGATTGATAAAGGATGGGAGATCAAAAGTTTCAGCTGTGGCCTTGAATAACAAAGATCTTACCATTTAAAAAATAGCAAAATCAATCTGCTCGCTGCAGATCCAGTTAACAAGAATTAATTCGAATCTATCCAATAAGGCAGAAGAGCAAAACCAGAGTTCAGCAGCCCGAACACTGTGGGCTCTGGATGCCCTGGTGGGCACTGGCTGCTGTTAGGGTACTGCAGACCAAAGAGGATACCTGAGGCTGGCTCTGGATATCGAGGCCTGGCTGTCTGTATGAATTTAGGTCTGCCTGCCCTATCTGAAGCTGCAGTTCAATCCAGTTCATGTGTGGGTGGTGCCTCCAGATTTAGCCTTCAGAGTCAACTGAAAGTTGGCCTTAAAGACGTCTTTTAATTGCTGACTTCCGGAGTAAACAGGTAGAAAGATCCATGTCTGTTTCAGGAATTGTTTTAGGAGCCTTTATCCTCTGAGCGGCTGCATTATTCAATTATTTGGAACACCTACAATATGTCAGTACAGGATTACGAGGTCCAACTTCTGTCATTGATGAGTCATTTTAAAATAGAAAGCCTAATATATCCATGTGATGCTCATCTGCCTCTTCTTGTTCTGTGACAAAACATCTTAATTTTCTCAGGGGGTACAGGCTCTCGTGTGACAAACAGAAAACAACATCTGTTGAAGCAGTGTCATTTGGGATACTTCTGATAAACATCAATGATTTTTATAATCCTGCATGCTTCTCTCTTGTTCAGGGACATCAAAATTCAGCCAGCTGAGAACTCTGGTCTGAAGTGAAAATGAGTCATCATTTCTTCTGTGCTATGGACACTTCAGGATGGATGGCAGAGAGGTTAAGCCCTTATTAACACATACACCACAGCAGCAAACACACTTACAATACATGAAGTTCATTCTACCATGTTAAATACAGCTAAATGCTCTTATTTGAGTCATTACTCACAGTGTCAGAATCTTCTGTGTTTCATTTAGAAGAAGAAATTGGTAGTGGAAACACTGTCAAATGATTCTTTGATACAATCCTATATTCTTAGCAAAAAGGCTTTTTTTTTTTTCTTTTTTCTTTTTTTTTTTCTGAAAAGCAGCATACATAAAACATAAACAAACATTTTCTTTCTTCACAGCTCTTTTGCAGACAGACTCCATGTTCTCTTAGCGCTCCTAAGAATTGTGTTCTTAATGGTATTGTGTCCCTTTTTCCCTTCTTTTATGTGATGTACAGCTTTTAGATCTTTTTACACTGTGTGCTTTCACTGGGATCTTCTCTGGAAGGAGCAGGCACATGCCAGTATAAGACAAAAGGTTCTCATTGTTTCACTTATCTGGCTTGTTAAACAAATTTAATGGCTCTTTACAACTGACTAAATAGAAAGAAGTAATGACAACTTTAATCTGACTAATAACAACACGGTAAATAAAGGTCTCTGCAGACAAAGCAGTAAAGTAGGAAATAACAAGTTGGGAGTAGTCAGGGAATCATAGAATAGTCTGGGTTAAAAAGGATCTTAAAGATCATCTACTTTCAACCTCCCTGCTCGGCAGGGTTGTCAACCACTAGAGCAGGCTGCCCAGAGCTGTATCCAGCCTGGCTTTGAATGTCTCCAGTGATGGGGCATCCACAACCTCTCTGGGCAACCTGTTCCAGTGCCTCACCACCCTCTGAGGGAAAAAACTTTCTCCTAATATCTAACCTAAATCTCCCCTGTCTTAGTTTAAAACCATTCCCCCTTGTCCTATCACTACCAACACATATAAACAGGCATTCCCCCTCCTGTTTATATGCTCCCTTCAAGTACTGGAAGGCCGCAACGAGGTCTCCCCAGAGCCTTCTCTTCTCCAAGCTAAACAAGCCCAGTTCCCACAACCTTTCTTCATAGGAGAGGTGCTCCAGCTCTCTGATCATCTTAGTGGGCCTCTTCTGGACCAGTTCCAAGAACTCCACATCCTTCTTGTGCTGGGGGCCCCAGGCTTGCATGCAGTGTTCCAGGTAGGGTCTCACAAGAGCAGAATAGAGGGGGCCAATCACTTCCCTCTCCCTGCTGGCCCCCCCTTTCTTAATGCAGCCCGGGACATTGTTGGCTTTCCAGGCTGCAAGCATGCCCTGCTGGCTCATGTCCATCTTCTTGTTCAGCAGGAGTCCCAAATCCTTCTCTGCAGGGCTGCTCTCAAGTTCTTCTTTTTCCAGTCTATATAAATACCTGCCATAGAAGTACCTGCCATTTTCTATGACCTATGTCATAGAAAATAAGGATCAAGGGGAAACATAAATAGAAACAAACAAAAAAGAGATTGAATGAGTACCAAGGTGCCTATGAAACATGGAAGCCTACTAGGTTACAAAGCAGCATCAGATTATGATGGAAACCCTCCTTGGAAATTAATTATTAATTAATTATTTATGAATATGCCATGTTCTGCAGTGATGTCAAGCCATTGTCTCAAACTCCATCTGTAATTAGGCTGAGATGAGAAAATAAATAATTTCTGCATTTGCTGAAAGTGAAAAGAGGCATAGGCTTTTCTCCCTAAAAGTAATGAATTCCCCATGTCTCTGAAAGGAAACCACCTAACCACAAACCTACTGTTGTGACATCCCACACGCACCATGCTGGACAGGGTGCGACTGTGTCTTAAGCACCCTCATCTCAGCAGTGGCAAGTAGTCAGACATCGGTTCTGACAGCCATTCTGCAGGTAACATCTGTGTGTGCACTAGCACGCAAGCGTGCGTGCACATGTCTCTGTCCCTCATGAGCCAGAATGTGGCACTTGCTGGCCTGTAATGTACTCTTGTAATACCCTCTTGGCTGCATCCCAAGAGGAAGGATGGAGTGGCACTCAGACCATAATGGGATTGCACAGTGGGGGAGAATGACCTGCCTTCTAGCAAGCAGAGTACGCAGCACCCACTTGGCGTGTGTGGAGGTGTGTAATGACACAGATCCCAGAGCCCCACCAGTCTGCCTCTCTGTACACCATCATGAACTGGCTGGAATGAAATAAGCCTTTCCCTGAGGGACAGACTGCTCAAGACAATCAAGGGATGCACTTGAAAAATCATTTTCTGGTATGTACTTCTTATTTAGCTTGCTTTGTCCCTGCAGTACGCCTTTCAGAGTTAACAGACATCAGTGACTTAAAGCTACAAATCTGCTTAGAGGGAGGCGGTTACTGTAGACAGGAAGGCTTCCGAATGAACTGTTTACATTGGAGATGGTTATATCCAATCCACCTCCCATCAGAAACCTCATCAAAATAACTAGTTTAACATAAAATGATGCTTGGCATCTAGGGCTCGGTGATACAGAAATGACAAGGCCACTTTGATTTAGCTAGAGAGGAAATGTGAGAGGGAGTGCTATGTGCAAATTAAGCCCTTTGATCCTGACATCAATCTCTTAATTAGGAAGCTGTCAGGAAGAGGCAGTTCTGTTAACACATGTCTATCCAAGTAGACCTATTGCTCTGCACAACAGTAGGATTAATTTCACCTGGGATTATCCAATTTTAATTTGTCACATTTCTCAGTGCATTATTCATGTGCATAAAATGTGCTGCAAATTACTCCAGTGCCTCTGTTACCCCTAGTTACAACTACAAATGTGTCTACGCCTTGCAGAGTCCCTTACCAAACTGTCTTCAGCAGTAAACAGAGTTGCTCACTCCTGGCAAACTCCTGTTATCTTTCCATATTCACACAGCTCAGTGACCCTGACCTGAGCTCCCCCCTATTCAGTCACAGGCACTTTTGTTGAAGAAGCCAGTAGCAAGCTGCCTGCTCATCTCTCACTAGGTACATGTGTACTACAAAAAAACAAGGCTGCTTCTGCTTGGTATATCAAGTCTCTGCTCCTTTAGCTTATGTTTTCTGCCTCTTCAGTATGTCTAGACTTAACTGTGAAGATCCACCTCCCTTCCGATATGTATTTCAGCCATATGATGAGTTATGCTTTACTTCAGACCACTTTGAGTTCCCTGTGTTTCCATCTCATACTGTTTACATGTCATGCCAGTACAGAAATACTGTAGTACTCTCTGTAATAGCACTGCTACTGTCTTTCAGTCACAAATGTTAAAAATGTACTGTTCTAGAATGTGATTCTCTGCCCAAAACCACGCTGCATTTCGAATTTCAGCAGGTATGTTTCATTTGCTGAAGAAACATGTATGGCACCTTTTCCTGCAGTCTAATTGCACAAAAAGCTTTTGTTTTAGACATCTACCTTGGCAGTATAAAGGTATGTACTTTGATTTATTTGCTGATTTTTGACCTTCATCTAAAAAAATCAGTACTTCTTGAGAAGATGTTGTTAATCACATACGGCTTGTAGACTTCTAAAAACTGTTGTATCAGAAATAAAAGTCTGTTAAAGAACTAGCTTGAGGCAAAATCCCTGAGTGAGAATGACTCTCAGAGTTAGAAACTTAAAAAATGCCCTCTGCTTTGTGGTTTCCTTACTGTCTAAAAGCCTCTGAGCCCTGAAGGGCCTATGCTCTATTTCTGCTGTAAAACATAAACAAAACACTCAGGTAAAGAGGCTAACGTTAAAACACAAAGATGTAACACGGATAAGCACAATTTACTCCCACATACTTACTCCCGCGCTTGAATGCTTACCTCCGATTTCACTATGGAACCCCAGGGATCTCAGGCACAGAGGCTTTTTGTTATCTTTCCCATCACACAATTGCAGCCAAACTGAACCTAGGAAACAAGAAAGTAAGAATTCAGACAGTAGGTATACCAGGACATGTTCACAATTGTTGCACATTTGTATTTGCATATTTAATAAGAGTCATACAGAGTAATGCATAGCGAGGCAAACCACCCACTGTGTACAATGTCCCGAAGGAAGGTAATGCAGTTAGGTTAGTGGATCTAGAAAAAAACTCATCCCCACTGCTTGGGCTTGCAGTTCAAGGATGAAATGTGCCTGACTTCTGGATACTTGCTCTAGCTGGAGAAACCCTGTACCTGCCTCACTCCAGGTATACTACCTTTCTGTCTCTTTCCCAGACATCACATCTTGTGCTGGAATTTAACAGCATATGCAAGAAGAGCACGGGATTGCTGAGAGTGCATTTGGAGCAACCAGAAAGTGGGAAACTCCTAGCCATCCCGTCCTAATGTGGAAAGAGAAGTGGAGTTAATTTCCAGGGAGTTAACTTGCACCTAGGTGCTGGAACACAGGGACAGAGTGTTTGTTAGGAGATAGTGATAACAAAACCAGGATGTTTTAAGCAGACTACAAATCCCAGTCCCTTTAGGTGTGTGTGTAACCATCGGTATTTCAGTTTACTGCCCCAAGTTCGTTTTGTCTTGAGCTCTAGGTACTGTGAAACACAGTCCACCACAGTCCAAGTCCAAGTCCAACACAGACTGATGTGCATTTTCTGACCTTGCAGAAAGAGCTGCACAACACCAAAGGGAGAGACGAGAGACACAGGCCCAATTTTCACTTATCTAACAGGGTCACTCAAAGAGAACCTCAGGGAAGTCAGTGGTGTTTGAGCAGCACAAGACCAGATGTTAAAGGGTTTCCTACTGGGAGTGTGTTCCAGGTATTCTGAAAGGATTCAGGCACAGAGGAGGAGAGACTGAAGTTTAAGGTTCAGCCAGGCAAGAATTAGCCTTGCTGCTTACTGGAACACCTGACTTGCAAATGACATATATGCTGAACTGGGAGCAAAGTCCTGCAATAAATAACTGTGCCTCAGTTATTTCCGCCTTTGCGCAGCAGAAAACTGCCACTTGGTGAGGGATCCTTTAATGGCACCAATGCCAGGCTCACCGTCCCTTTCCTTCTTACTCCTACGCTTATGAAAAAACAGGGAACTAAGCTGCAGAAACCATACAGTGAAGATTTCTTCTGGAAAGGTAATTTCCCATCCTGTGGGCTGCAAGTTGGTTTATTGCTGCATTATTGTTTTCTTTCAGAAAGAAAATTGACAGAGAGAGCCAGGTGTTGTGGGAAAGCCGCCATTCAAGCAGGAGGGGGGTTGGTCAATCATGATTTATCTGGGAAAAAGCATTTCAAGTGCTGAATCTGTGTATCCTGAGATTATTTGGGATCTCTTTTCTATATGTCCATTCTTGGCCACTGGAGGTAGCTACGCCTTTGATCTGACCCAGCAGGGCTGTGCTTCATGTTTGCTTGTACCACTTCCTCTTTGTTCTGGGTGGACATTTCTGCCTGGTCGCAGTATTCTGGTTTCTGTCTCAGGTTAGAAAGTACCTATCAATTGTGAGTCACTGTGGCTGACCATGGCTCATCCTCATCTTGTTTGCCACGTACTGTGATTCTGTACCACCCGGCTTCACTCATACCAACAGGTCACCCCATCTGGAAGCTAGCATGTAAATCCAGTTCCCACATCGTGAATAAGGACATGAGGATGTGGTCGTAAGAATAATTGGTCTTGAAAGAAGGAAATTCCTTCTTGAGAGAGTGTAATAAAGAACAGGGGGGAAAATGGCAGCCAGAAAGAACGTTGCAGTGCTAAGTTTTCATAGGAGTGCAACAAAATTCAGAATCATCTTAGTTACAGATGAGCTCTGGAGGCAGCTCTAGTCTCACGGGGAATTCATAATATGGTCACATAATATAGTGTGTTATACTGTACACAGCAGTTGCCATTTCTCCATGTGCCACATTTTGTTCTGGGACATTCTACTTCCCTTCCTATTGTTGGGTCACATGTGAAAATTGCATTTAAAATTTCTGCTTTAAAATGTGCGTTAGCGTTGGACTTCTACTGCAATAGTCTGTCATCTCTTGATGACATCTCTTGATATTTTTTACCCTGGTGTCACAAATACATTCTTGAATTTTGATAAATGGTTATTTTTAACATATTATGTGATGATTTTAAAAGCGGTAAATTGTTCTGGGCTTGCTCAGAAACTTGTTAGATCCATGCTATTGTATAGCCCTTTATAGCAATGGATAGGGCACAAAGATCACGCAGCTTGCCAAAGTACTTCCTAGTTTCCATTTTGCTACCATAACAACCTTCCTTATGTTTAGGACATTGATATAACCCACACAGTGGCAGTATCTAGCATATATGGGTATAATTGCTCCTTGCATTTAGTCTGAAGGAAAGGTGGTTTACACACCCATCCATCTTAACTAAGGCTGTGATTTACGGAAGCTAGTTACACCTTCCCAAATAACAGAGGTAAAAAAGTGGGCAGTTACACAAAAGCACATGATAAAATGAGCCCTAATTCTCCCACTACAGACTTTTCTTCCAACAATGAATATAAAAGTTCATTAAAACATGAGGGAGGAAACAATGTTGTCCCTAAACTATAGCTTAAGGTTTCTTTAATGCTGATTTTCATTTTTCAAGTGCATGAATTTCCAAAATCAAACAATTACTTTAAACACTTTTCTAGTAATTTAGTTGCAAATTTTTAAATCTCAGAAACTCCTATAGCTGCAGCATAAAATGATGATAAACCATTAAATGATTGAAAGTATTAAATCAGAAAAATAAGAAAATCTGGGTACCTCTCAAAAATATGTATACAAAATATTACATAGAATTGTAAATAGTTATCATAAAATTTAACCATAACATTTTAAAGCCTTTACACATGATAAAGAGAAAAAAATCTCAAGGGTTTCAGTGAAATTATTTACGAATTATCCCATCAATCACTTACATTAATGGCACTGCAAACTGGGGTTTTGATGATTATCTGTATAGCAAAGGTAAAAAACAGAACATCCAGCTCAGTTAATCTTTGTTTTTCTTGTTTTTCACAAACTTTTCAGAGAACCTGTCCAAAATCCTATCTTAATTTCGGGCCAGAACAAAATAACTTCTCAAAAGTCAATGAGAAAATAAGAAACTTGAATTTGAGTGTAAAGACAAAATTGGGGCAGGTGTCTCTCTACTTCTTGGGGGGGTGTTCCAAGATATCATGGACTTAGCTAGAATAAGTACCAAAGATCATTTTCTTGTCCAGTAGTGTCCACTTGTCTTGTAAAATGGTTTACAAGAGGTTTGACATCAAACAGGAATGTTCAGAAGGGATGCAGATGATTCAATATGTCCTTGCTGAGCATCATCCAAGCAGGAAGTTGTAAAACCTGCTTGATATAAATGCTAAGAAAACGTCATTAATAATAGATCATAAAAGGGTAGAAACAGAATTAATTTTTGGTCCAGGGTTAGCATTTTGCGGAACATTTTGCTTATTGCAAGTATTTTATTCTTATCATGAACTTTGAGTTGAGCCTTCTAATTGGGTGTGCTGCAACAATGGGTAAGGGGAGAGATCCTTTAGAGAAGTGGAGAATGGGTCACACAGCTGTGAGAAGTTTGGAATATGAGGTTGTGCAGGCCTGGATACACACCAGCTACCGAATCACAAATTATTCATCAGCCTTACATTTGGGAATGGCTTTTGCTTAGCAGGAAGAGGTAATGGGAAAAAAAAAAAAAAAAAGAAAAAAAATAATTATCTTCTGGTGGGGAGGTGGACCTAGCTCACTTTGCAATGAGTTGGAGCGAAGAGCAGCAAGCAGAGGAAGAAAGAATAAATGAAATCAAATCATTGTTAGTTACATGCTCCAGTCCTGTGGCTGTACCTGCCCTTTCTTAGATGCACAGCTTGCCAGCTGCAGGGACTGCACTTTTGGACTCACTGTTTAGCACAGGATCAGCAGACATGAACTCACCCAGGTTACGTTTAAGAGAGCCATATATGAATGCTTGATTTGTGTGCTCTGCTACAGAGGAGTGCTTCCTCGTCTGATACTCTGGAGAATGAGGGAATATGCCTTCCTCAAGTTACTGCAGAGCTTTCAGCAATGATTGGAGTTTTATTCAGTACTACCTGCACAGTGGAAGTTTGAAAGCCAGCTCACCATTATCAACTGCTAAAATTATATGCCCAACATCATGTTTTAATTCATTCCTCAGTGTTCTTTATCTGGACTGTAAGTCTGCATAAGTGATAAGAGATTACTCAGAGTTTTAAATGTGGTCTGCTTTCTAGGGTTTAGTCTCAGCCAAAGCCTTTCACACTCTGTAAACATTAAAAGTGAACTTTGCGAAGAGCCTTTGCCTGTGATTTCCCCCACCCAGTAAAAGGCATCTAGCAGCCTTCCTGCTGTACCAAGAGTGTTAGCAAGCAAATCACAGTCCTGGAATCTCCCAGATTCCACCTGTAGTAGTCTATGGGAGAGGAAGCACCTTCTGAAGATTTAGGTTCCTTGGTTGAACTAAGGATCACAGCCTAAACACTATCACCCCTTAATCAAAGCAGTGGCGTAGATTTCTGTTCACCAGTCTTTTCGCTTTTAAGCTCCTAATTTTATTGCGGCTCCCTCCGGTTCCTTATCTTGCTGCTCATGCCTTCCTTGCAATCACTCCCATTCCCACCAAGGAAGGTTACCTCTAGATATCACTTTCTCAATGGTGGAAGGTTCAAGCTGTGATGGTCTGAAGGAACAGAGCAGCTTAGGGGAGTGTGAATTAAATGTGTCACTGGGATTACTGCTCATAGGAACTGAACAATGGACCAGGCAAAGGTAACTCTGCTGTGCAGCGAGTTGCATTGCGTTGTGGGGTCCTTTGATTTGTGACCTGAACTTGAAGTTCAGGCAATAAACATGCCTAATGCTTGACTGAAGGAACCATTTAGTATGAGGATATACTTCTTTGGGGTTGCAAGCATCTCCAGGGCTATGTGGAGGAACTTGGAACAGATCACCACCCTGTAAAAACTTTGTTTTGAGTAGATCATTTCACTGTTTCTACAGCTGGTGCAGTTTATGATTATTTACTTTGTTTTAATGCAATCCATAAACAGAATGATTTTAAGGCCTTTTGCTTTTACTCTTTACAAGGACATTTCTATTTCACTGCCTGTTCTGATCAAAGCCTGAGCCTAATGTTATGTTCTTCTTGGGACTGCAGGTTGCATACAGTGATCTGAAACATAATGATCCTTTTCAGAAAGGTAAGTCCTATTCTTTGCTATTATTTACTGGTTAGCTGAGGCCCAAAGAAGAAAAAAAGGACCTTAACATCCTTGTTCATCTCAAAAAGAATAGCAGAAGTAACCCCGTATCAACAAGATATAAAATAATATCAATCTGGACTAAAAATGCAAAAGCGTCATGCCAACTTTGGGCTAGCCTGGCTATGCTTACGCTGAGCTGGTGACCTCTGTCACAAGGTGTGGCACTGAAACTGCAGATTACCTCTGGAATTTTAGTCAGTTCAAATTGGAGCACTGTAATGTTCTTTATAATCTTGTGTGACGTTTACAGACATTTATGCTCCGGTTATTTGGTTTTAAACGTAAGCCCACAAAGTAGGCTTTGTTTTCTGAAAAAGAAATATTTTTTCAGTAAAAAAAAAAAAATTGAAACATTGACAGTAAGTGCTATGTTGAGAACAAAGTTTGTATGCAACAAGACAGCTGGAAAGCCAGCTCCTCATCAAGTGTAAGTCAATTCATACCCCCCTTGAAGATCCAACCTACAGCTTTGTTCCATTTTCATTCTAGTCATTGGAGTAATTTTTTTTGTTTAAATCTGAATTAGTAACTGGAGCAAGAGTAGATAGATATTCCTGGGGAATACAAACAGGGCAGTAGCTCAGGCAACACTGCAGTGGTGCTTATGCCTAAGGAAGGACAGCCATAGCTCACACCTTTCCTCCAGCGACAGCAGAGCTGTCCTGCATGCTGGCTGTGCAGGCAAGATGTTGCCACGACTCCACAAATGTAAAGAGGAGCTGGGCTGAACAAATAATGCATTGTTTTCCTAAGACAGATCACGGATGCAACCACATTTGTAAGTGATTTGAAAGACAGCAGAAAAAATACATATAAACTGTTGCAACGGGGCTCTCTGCACTTCCAGCTATCTAGCCTGTCCCTTTTTTTTTCTCCCAAGAATGCCTTTGTTTTCAAGCACCTCATCTGAAAGAATACCACAGCTACTGTGAGGCTGCCAAGGCACATTACCAGCATTCACAGTGCCCCCCCCCCCAGTTTCTAGGAGGTAGTGGAGCTGAGCAATCACTGTCCTTGTAAAAGGCGTTATGTTATATCCTCTTGTAATACAGCTGGGCTGGATGACTCAGGCAAAGCCATTTTCCATGCCAGCTGTGGTGCTGGGAATAGTACTCAAAGATCCCAATGCTATCACAATCAGACTGTACTACCTGCAAGTGGTAAGAACTTGTCCAGTTAAACAGTGCAGAAGAAATTAAAGCAATAGAAAATTAAGACCAAGACATGTACGCATGTGAGCTACGTTGCATGAAATCTGTCACATTACCTGACAATGACTTTTCTTCCCCCCCAGGGTGATCATGTGTGGCTGGAAACTCAGACGAGCAGTGAATTTAATGTCCCTATTGGGGCAGTTGTGAAAGACTCTGACTCAGGACGGATCTTGTTGGAGGATGATGAAGGCAAGGTGGGTTATGCTACAACTTTCTGTAGAAGGTAAACATAAAAATCAAAAGTACAAAATACAAACGAATGGACGTACTGGATCAGACCAAAGCTTCATCTAGACAAATAGTCTGACTTTGATAATGACTGGTGAGATACACTGAAAGAAATAATATAAAAATAAGGCCAACATAGGGTGATGCTTCCCTAGTATCTACAGATCCCAACAGTATAAAGATCTAGATCTTCTTGAGCTAGCGGTTATAACCAAGTAGCTAGGAACAGGAAATGGACAAGCTGCAATCCCTAAATTTAGTAGAGTTCTAGGTAAAATCATGATCCCACTAAAGTCTGTTTAACTGGAGTTTTACCCCTACCTCAAACATGTTCTGGCTGTAATGATCTGACAGAACTGCATTGTGAACACTCACAATTTAGGAGGAAATTCTTCACTCAGAAGGTGGTGAGGCACTGGAACTGGCTGCCCAGGGAAGCGCTGGATGCCCCATCCCTGGAAGTGTTCAAGGTTGGGTGTGATGAGGCCCTGGGCAACCTGATCTATTGGGTGGCATCCCTGCCCATGACAGGGGGGTTGGAACTAAATGATCTTTAAGATTCTGTGATGTCCAGAACTCACCTATGTGGCTTTGTTTAAGGTTTTAAATCATCCAGTCCTGCGGAGCAACGCACTTGCTAATTTCTGTAGTTCTAGTTGTTTGTAGAATATGCTGGGTTTAGTGTGGACTATGTTCAAGCTTGCTCTGGTCTAACATGGTGCTTTCCTTTGTTTGCCTCTGGGTAACAGCACAATCCATTGAAACTTCTGCCTTGCCTTTTTCAGGAGCACTGGATCACGGCCCAGAACATGCACATGGTGCGCCCAATGCACCCATCCTCTGTCCAAGGGGTGGAAGACATGATCCGCCTTGGGGATCTTCATGAAGCAGGCATGGTGCACAACCTCCTCATCCGCCACCAGCAGCACAAAATCTATGTGAGTGCCAAGGTTACCAAGCACGCTACTTCTAGCAATAACCTCTAATGCACCTTCAGTAGGGTAACCTGAGCTGCCTGCAAGCCTTCTTTCATGCATAGGGCCCCACAACCATAACTTTGTCCAGTGCAAAGTCCAGCTACACCTGCACCAGAACAGAAAAGCAGCTTAAAAATCACTACAAAGCATCTTATGATAACACAGAAAAATGCCATGCCAAATTGAGCTTTTGTGTTTTAGCCTTAGACAGCGAGGTGAGCTGTGAGATTATAGTTATCATTATTCCTTCTGGAAAAAAAAAAAAAAAAAAAAAAAAAGATATCCTGGGACATTTAGTAACAACCAGACCTTAGCACTTAGGCCTCACTTAAGGGCTACTATGGATCTCCCAGGTTTCCCTCCTGCCTCTGCTTAGTATCACACTGTGAGTGCCTTTGGCTGTATTCTTGTTTGCAGATTTGCTGCTAGAGGTAATGCTCATAACTGTTTTCCAGACTTACACAGGATCTATCTTGGTAGCGGTGAATCCATACCAGCTGCTGCCTCTCTACACAGTTGATTATATCAGGCTGTACTGCAACAAGAGGATTGGAGAGCTGCCACCTCATGTCTTCGCCATTGCTGACAATTGTTACTTCAATATGAAGAGGAATAAGAGAGACCAGTGCTGTGTGATCAGGTGACTGGACTCAGGATGAGTGGCAGAAAGCCAAATCTGGCATGTTTTTGGGGTACCTTTGAGGACATAGGAAATCTTCCAAATGCAAAGGCACAGATAAGACTTGAGATAAGAGTTTTCTCCCCTGCTACTTCATTTTCAGTCAGGGCTTCAAAAGGTAGAACATACACAAGGGATTTCCTGAGTCCATTGTTTTCCCCCAGACTCTTTGAATATGGTGATACATTGTGCACATCCGATCCTTTGTGGTGTAAGGCTATCTTTCACTGTAGGGACACCATACTTGTGCTACCTGTGTTTTCTGCAGAGATTTCCTGAATCATAGAAACTCAGAATCATAGAATCATTAAGGTTGGAAGAGACCTCCAGGATCATCTGGTCCAACCATCCTACTACCAATGTCACCCACTAAACCATGTCCCTAAGCACCAGGTCCAACCTTTCCTTAAACACCACCCTTTAGTCCTCAATGAAAGACAGCCTGATCTGCCATTCACGATGTAAATATAAGTAGGATTTATTTTTTCACTTTGGTCTGCCATTTGCCACCCTAGCCAAAAAAGAAGAAATGAAACCATTAATGATATTTTTTCTTTATGCAGTGGAGAATCTGGAGCTGGGAAAACTGAAAGCACAAAGCTAATACTACAGTTTTTGGCAGCTGTCAGTGGCCAGCATTCCTGGATAGAGCAGCAAATCCTAGAGGCCAACCCTATTCTGGAAGGTGGGTTATTTAGCAAAAAGGCCTGATTTACCACCCTTATCACAGGAATTTTGTGTCAGGAAAAATTCAGGAACAGATCCTAGAATTACTGTATTTGCATAACAGCTAAAACCCCTCAAGTATTGACAATGTAGCATAGAAATTCTCTAGATTTTTCTGCTGTGTCCCCATTAGGTCCACAGCAGCTCCCATGCTGCAGGAGGAGATGCCACCATAACAAGTAACTCAGAACTGCAGGGAGCACAAAAGCCTTTGGAAAGGCAGAGACCTTTTGGTAAAGCCCCCTTGTTTGGCATTTGCACCAGACTGTGGCAAAGTGACCAAGAATAGATACATCTGTAGGGTAGGTCCCTAAGACATCCATCTTTCTGAGTAGAGGGATCGGATGAGTACCCAGAAAGTCCTTTTGCAGGTCTTAATGAAGAAGTGCTCAGCTCTCTTGGCTGGTCAGATATAGTGTATATGTGGATCACCTGAATATATCTTTTAGGGCCCAATTATCTGGATGTGCAGTATGCCTGCCTGTCATCTCAGCAGGGAGCCTTAGTCCATGTATTCTTTAGTACTTGTCAGCACTATCATGTGGTGCACAACTTGTAAAATGCCAGTAGAAAAACAGAAGAGGATTAAAAATAGACACAATGTTCATTAACTGCAGTAATCAAGATACTACCTTTGCCCTTTGCCAATCAGCTTTTGGAAATGCCAAAACAGTTCGAAATGATAATTCAAGTCGCTTTGGGAAATACATTGATATCCGCTTCAACCGCAGTGGTGTGATAGAAGGAGCCCAGATAGAACAGTTTCTTCTGGAAAAGTCACGTGTTTGCCGGCAGGTGAGGCCACTTGCAGATGTCCATTTTGCCTGCTCCTGTGTTACAAGCCTGTACTAACAAGGCTATATTGGCCTATTCCTTTCTTTCCAGGCTCCAGAGGAGAGGAACTATCATATCTTCTATTGCATGCTAATGGGGATGAATCTGGAGCAGAAAAAGATGCTGAATCTGGGAACTGCTTCAGAGTACACTTATCTCACTATGGTAACAATCTCTACTTCCTTCTCCATTATCCCTTTGCCATTTGCTTCTTCCAGCAAACAAGTACCATCAATAGGAGCTGCAGATGGGTAGTTACCGAGTATCAGCAGTCCTTTCCTTAGAGTACCACAAGCAGTAACATCGAAAGTGCTGTGAGTCTCTGTTTTGGAGACTTATTGTAACGTCCACCCATCTACCACAGCAGCAGCTTGTGGCAGTTCAAAGCCTTCCATCCAGGTCAGCCTTAAGAAACATAAAGGACATCTTAAAGCAGGTAGGAAATATCTCCTGCTTTCACAGGCACTTAGATTTCGGATGAATGCCAGGGAGAAAGCTAATCAAGTACGTATACCTTAGGAGAAAACGAAAAAGCAGAAACAGTGTCGAGAATCCTCATCCTTATATCTGATATTTATATGATCTGAAAAGAAACAAGAGATTTTCCTTACTTGTTGAGTGTGGTGTCTTGCAGGGCAACTGCACATCTTGTGATGGCCGGAATGACGCAAAGGAATATGCCCACATCCGCTCGGCTATGAAGATCCTCATGTTCTCAGACTCTGAGCACTGGGACATCAGCAAACTGCTGGCTGCTATTCTGCACCTGGGGAATGTAGAGTTTGAAGGTAAACTCAGCATTGTCTGTGCTTGGTCTTTCCTCAGACTCAATGTTAAAGGCCTAGAGATGCTGTCTGCTTCCCACTGTACAGCTTAGGCTGTGCTCCTCTGCCGTGCATTAACAGGCGGGTGGACAGGGTTGGAGGGGTAGGCAGATAAGCACCATTAAACATTAGATAATTTTTTGAAAAACATCCATCTACTTTTGTCACACTCAGGTTTCCATAGCTACAAATAAACCCTTATCACGCAAACTGAAACACTAGATAATGTAATGCCATGCTACATTTGCTGATTGTAGTGCTCTGCGAGCCAGAGGACAGAAGAGCAGTTGAGTCATGCTTGCTGTGGAGATGATAGCAGTCATCTGCGGGCTGGGTATGGTGAACACCCACCTGTGTGAATGCAATTCTTGTATGGCACAGGCACAGCCTCATACACCCAGCAGCAGGATGCCAGGAGCTCTCACATTTTAGAAAAGGCCTCCTTCTCTTTGTGATGCAGAGGATTCAATACAGTGATGCCAGAAGGGATCTTTGGAGTAACATTGGCTGCTAAAATGGAATATTTAGACAACCTTTTTTGTCTAAATTTCCCATAAGCCAGATATAAGGAAAAATGTTTTCAGAAACATTTTCTGAAGTCAGATATCACAGAATCACAGAATCTCAGAACTGTAGGGGTTGGAAGGGACCTCAAAAGATCATCGGGTCCAACCCCCCTGCCAAAGCAGGTTCCTCAGAGCAGGCTGCCCAGGTAGGCATCCAGACAGGCCTTGAATATCTCCAGAGAAGGAGACTCCACAACCTCCCTAGGCAGCGTGTTCCAATGCTTGGTCACCCTCACCATGAAGAAGTTCTTTCACATGTCAGTGCAGAACTTCCAGTGTTCTAACTTGCAGTCATTGCCCCATCCTATCCCCACAAACCACTGAGAAGAGGTTGGCTACATCCTTCTGTCCCCCACCCCTCAGATATTTATATACACTGAGGAGATCCCCTCTCAGTCTTCTCTTCTCCAGGCTGAACAGACCCAGTTCTCTCAGCCTTTCCTCATAAGGAAGATATAACTTCTCCAGATCTCCAATTGCTACCATTTAAAAGTAATAACCTTGTCAGCTTTGCTGCTACTTTTAGCCTGATGTTCAGCAGTTGTGAGGACCCCATACATGCCAGGATCCCTGACTGAAATCAGAACTCTTCTTAATAAAATCATCAAACCTGGGAGCTTCATCAGGGAACTGATTGCTTTGTCACATTCCCAGAGCTATGGGGTTACAGAAATATGGCTGCAATAATAGCACAGCCCCCACCCCGACAGAAATGATTCACCCCAAGACTGACTGTTTCCTTATTCCAGCGGCTGTGTATGACAACTTGGACTGCTCTGATGTGATGGATTCACCACACTTTTCGATTGCAACCAAATTGCTTGAGGTAATGGACTCTCATCTTCTCCTACTAGTTCTCTCCTTCACCCATGCTCCCTGAGCACACTGACAAAACATGATTCTGTGGATTGTTTATGTATGGAAGCACATAAAAAGGGCATTTCTTCCCGCTGATACTCAAGTGATGCTGTTGCAGATGTGTCTGAGCTAGGAGAGCTTTCAGTCTAGGACAGCAGAATGCTGTCATGAATGCTGCTGGACAGGCAGTTTGTTACAGCCCTCTTCCTGAGACAGACTTTCTTTGCTGGATCTCCTTTATCCACCTGAATGACCAGATTGCCATTCCTGTTCCACCAGGTGGACTCCAGTGAACTTCAGAACAGTCTCACAAACCTCTCAATCATTGTTCGAGGAGAAAGTGTGTCCAGGCCTCTGAATGTAGCTCAAGCTGCAGATGGAAGGGATGCATTTGTGAAGGTATTGGTTCTTACGTATTCTCTGTTTAAGATTGGGAATGCTTTTAAAGCTGTCTTACTAGTGAAAGAGCCTTTTGTGATAAATATTCACCCAGTGGGCTCTGTTCCCTCCTAGTCTTCAGGCATAGTCTGACATCATTGTTGTAGCACGAAGGGAAGCATTGAGATATGTCCGAAGACTGTAACGATGGTTTTCCATTTGCTCTTTAATTTTTCGCCAGGGTATATATGGACGGATTTTCCTGTGGATAGTGAACAAGATCAACTCAGCCATTTCCAACCCAACTTCTGAGAAGCCTAAAAATACGCATCAGTCCATTGGGTTGTTGGACATTTTTGGGTTTGAAAACTTTAGCAACAACAGGTAAGAGGCTCTAAATTCGTTTCCACTGGGGAGCTGAAAAGCAGCTGATGTAAATAGAAAGAATGAAGAAACAGAAATGTTCTTTCATTATTGTCCTCATTCTCAGAGAAGCAGTGAAATTTCCGTCACTGAGTTTTCCCAGTGATGATCTTGCACAGATACCATTTGTCTCCAGTCTTGGTCACATTTCTGCCTTCTCCTTCAGTTTTCTTTCTGGTGCAGCCATTGCCACGTCTATTCCAGAACCTCAGGAATTTGCTCAGAGGAGATGCTACGAGCAGGCAGATGCCCCCTGTCTCTGTACCAAACTTCTTTGTTCCATAACATTTTTATGATGTCTCTTGTGATGCATTTTGTACAAAGGAGGCTATATTTGGTTTCCCATTTCAGCCCATGCTTCTATTTTGCTCAGTGTTTTTTGCTCTCCAGTCACTTTTTTGGGGGGCTCCTTAATTTCTCTGCTTCTAAGGACAGGTCAGTAAAACACCTGGTTAGTATACTGTTGCCCACTGCTACCTCTCCTACTCCTGATTTCAGTCCCAAAGCACCTTTTCTATATGCCCTTCTTCACAGAGGCAGCAATTCTCTAACTTGTATGGTATGTAGGTACCATATCATCAGTACTCTACAAACCATCACCTCACTCTGCAGTCTACAAACATTGGTGACCAGAGTAGAGAAGCTTTCTCCATTTTGTGACACAGACAACATGCGAGCACTATTGTAGCAGGATATGCTACAGTCAGGGATGTAGTAAATTACTGCGTGCAAATATTATTATTAATTACAATAATAAATATTGTAATAATTATTAATATAACTAATATTATCTCTGTCATTCTATTTCACTCCACCTTTGTCACCCCCTCCTTGATAAATCACTTAAAACGTTCCATGATTTTCATTTTTTCTAAATTCTGCGTGGCAATTTCTTCCAATTCATTTCAGCAGATGTACTTCACTTGCTTTCAGCAAGATTTTATTCCTCACTGACCTTTGGAATGCAGTCTAAGATCTGTTCAGGACAGCCTACATCTTTCACAATCTATCTATATCTATCTATCTATTACTTTATGCTATTCCCAGAGGCTGCAATCCACATGGGGCCTCACTGTGGTGAGTACTCCACAGGCACACACTGTGCTACAGCAATTACCAGGTAATGAAACTCAGGTGCAGCATTTAGGACTAACTGACAGAAGAAGTGGTAATGCCAGTGCAAGTAAAAACAGGTCACACATTCATACAGTCAAGCTGTTTTCACAGTTATATGTCCCCTTTACTCTAGAGTTTCTTGAAACTCATACATGATCTTTTCTTGCTTACCCATCAACCCTCAGTCATCAGTTGGCTCATTTATGATCATCTTTATCACAGCCGAAAATGTATCTCTTACGTTCCTAAGACTGACAACATGCAGTGGTGGTAGTCATTAACACCGTGGAATATAGCAGTAGTACATCTGGATACGTATTTAATACGTATTTAAACAAATACCACGGAGCAGTAGCAGTGCAGCACTGGCTGAGGTCCAGGGATGACCATGGTTTCCCACCTTGTCCTTCCACAGCTTTGAGCAGCTCTGCATTAACATTGTCAATGAGCACCTTCAGCAGTTCTTCGTGCACCATGTCTTCAAGCTGGAACAAGAGGAATACCTTGCAGAGCACATTGCCTGGAATAACATTGAATTCCCTGACAACCACCAGGCTCTGGAAATCATTGCACTCAAACCCATGAACATCATCTCCCTCATTGATGAAGAGAGCAAGTTCCCAAAGGTAACCTTATGGTTTCACCTGTAATGTTTGGTTTTCACCACAGCGCATCAGTAATGCTTGGCTTTACACAGAAGAGTGCAAAAACACTTTCAAAGATAATGTCTCTGACATTGAGAGGCAATGTCTCAAGACATCTGAGAGGCAACATCATCCCCCTTAAAAGGTGTCCCTTTTAAATTAGCTATATGAATACTTTTGTCTTTGCTGGAGTGTGCTCTTCCTGGTATCTCGCTGTTGAAACTCTTATAGTTGTTCCAAGTGGAGAAGGAAGGACTCCTGATCATTTAGAAGTGCCCTTTTAGGAAATATTTAGTTTTGCATATTGTTTGAGTATTGTTCTGCTGTTGGTCTGGATGGCAGCTTTCTCTTCTCCTGTATGATGGTCACAGCTGTGCAATATCATTGTGAAAAATGTCATTCTACAAAAGGCAGGCATCTCAAACAGGAGAGCAGGGGTTGAAGATCCTATCTCAAACATTCCTGAAGAACATTTTCCTCATCTCCAGAGCATGGTGAGGGTAAGCAGGACTGTTAGTACAGATGGCAACATCAGTTTATCCAAAACAGCAAGCCCCTGCCTCAGCTCACTGGTAGTGCTCATGGAGAAATTTAAGAGGATTGTGTACAGACAGACAGATGACTTTCCCCTTTCTACCCTGAGAAGAGGGTGGTCCTAACTGTCCTGCAGTCAGGAGGAAAAAACTCCTCTGATTCCCAGAGCACATGGCTTCTCAGATAGCACAGCACAAACCTAGCACAGTTGAGTGAGCAGAGCTAGCCTCACATGCACTGCAAGGGGATGAGATTGTGATGGCATCAGCTGAAGAGAAGCTGTCTGCCTGTGGAAGTCACATCTGGGCATGCTGACTGGTATCTGCTTTGGAAGCCTTCTTCTGGTGATTTCTGAGTCTTATACCAGTTGGAGAGTGAAAGGCAGCTCGGTGTGCCTACCTGGAAGAAGGAACATGCACTCTTAGAGCATGGCTGGTTAGGATGGCATGGGAAGGTTGGTGGGGAATTCTGCTTGCAAACATCAAAGATTTGAGAAATTTTCAGCATGCCTGGTGATGTTGGTCATGTTATAGAGCCTTGTGTACAGTCCTAAAACACTAGGCCTTACACTCTAGTGCTGTGTTCTGTCCTGATGCTTGAGAGGAAGGTCTGTGTAAAAGGGAAGGTACTTCTGGCACTGACTTCTTCCAGCTTTACTATACAAAGAAGGAGCAAAATTTAAGCCTTTGCTATTTCTGAGCACCACATCTATTTGTTCACTGAGCATAGTCCAGTGCAGAAAGGGGATCTACTTAACTGTCTTTTTCTGCCTGTGTTTGTTCCCAGGGCACAGATGCTACCATGCTCATCAAAATCAATTCCCTCCATGGCAAAAGTAAAGTCTATATCCCACCTAAGAGTGACCATGACACCAAGTTTGGCATTAACCACTTTGCTGGGGCTGTCTTTTATGAATCAAAAGGTGAGCCTGTCACTGCCAGATGTGGAGGGTGAAGAGAAAAGCATAGCTTGCCACGGACATGTAGCACTCCAGGGTAGTGCTGATCTGTGATTTCTCATGATGGGAGTTAAAAACCTTCATGTTTACTTAGCTGAAGTCACAAGATCAGGAGGATTACTCTAAACTAATCAGCAAGTTACTGTAAATGAAATAGATTTTAGCTAGCCAGAGTAGCACTAGAGCCAGCTGACTGCAGAGATAACAAGCTTTTGTATTTTTTTTTTCCATCCTATAGGTTTCCTAGAGAAAAATCGGGACACACTGAGTACTAATGTATTGCAGGTGGTTCATTCCTCCAAGAACAAATTCCTGAGGCAGATTTTCCAGGTGGAAGCAACCCCACCTAGTCTGGGACGTGGGACCATCCGGCGTCTTGGAAATGACCAAGCCTACAAGGTTGGCTAAATGACACTGGGTTGCAGAAACAACTCATTTCTCCTCCCTTCCATAATGCTCTGGCTGTTTTTGGCCTCCTCTTTTTATTACACTGTCTCTGCAAATACATTTTCATGCATACCCTTTCCTTCAACCCATTTCAACAAAGGAGTCTGGAATAAAAGTCAGGATCTGGCATTCATGCTGTAAACAAATGTAATGTCAGCCCTGTCTCCCAGGAGTGCTTTCAGTGTTTATATTCCTGAGTTTCCTTCTCAGGGTAGAGAGCAAACAGTCAGCTTGCTATCTTACCTGTTATCTGCCTATTCTCCTGGCACTGTTTTCTGATCCCGTTCTTTCTTCCTCAGTCTTTATCTCAATGTGGCTTTCTGCTGTCCAGAACATCTGGCTACGGACAGGTTAAAAACCTGTGGGAGAAGAAAGAAGTGGTATAAGCAGCAACTGAGAAATGGCTTAGCATTTATTAAACATTATGAGCAACTTAAGATTAAATCTCAGGTCCACCTGCATTGCTCTCACGATTTTTGTCTTTTTAAAGAAGGTTGTGTTATGGGAAAAGAGCTTTCCTTAGGAGAAGATTTAGAAAGTAGCATGTCAAGAAAGGAGCTACGAAATGTGGGTTACTATCTATTTCAAAATGCATAGAAGTCAGGTGATGCATCTCTATTCATTTCAAATAGGTTGGGCCACTGCTGGGGAGCCTAAGAAGCAGACTACAGAAAATAACAGGAAATGAAGTGCCAGAAAAAAAAAAAAGTGCTTTTCTGAGGTGTCAGAGTCTCTCTCCTGACTCACCAGGGGAGAAAATTCACCGCCATTCCAGCAACAAGACAGGCTAACAGTGTTGTATCTGAAGGTGGTCTGTGAGACCATGAGGGCCTGGACATCAGCCTTCTGTGACTGTCCTGCTGATTTAGTGGTACAGCAAAAAAGCCTCGAAGGTCTGGGAGTGCAAATTGCTTTTAACTCTCGTACAGTTTAAACGTCTATATGCTGTTATGCTGTCCACTTCAAACAGGAGCTTGCTAGCCCTGAAACGCATCACAGCTGCTATGAAGCATTCCCAGGAACTATTTTCCAAGGCATGAGGGTTTGGTCGCTGGAGGGCAGCATTGTCCTGTAGCTTAAAGAAGAAAGTGGCAACTTGAGTGTTAAAAAGGGGATTTAAAATGTAAGAACCAGAGTAACCAGAGTACTATAAAGACTATTAAAGTGATGCGAGCCACTGGGCTTCAAATGGTTTCTGTATTTTGAATAGGAGGTGATTGGGAGGGGGAGGGAAAAAAAGTCTTTATATATAGCAGTATTGTGTTTCAAAGATTAGCTCCAAGCTTATAAGAAGCCTGTAAGAAAAAGGCCAATGGAATCTTTTTGTTACCTGGAATCTGCACTGCTGTCACTGTAATTTAATATGCTCTTAAAACACAGAAGCAGCAGCTAAGGGTTATTGTGATAATCTGTGTGGAAAGAGGTAGAACTGTGCTTACAGTGAAGCAGGGGAAGTGAGGAGCTAACTGCAGCCAAGTGCAGTCCCTCTGGGGTTACACTATTGCACCTGTAAGCAAAATTCAATCCAGGAATTGTCAGAAAAGTTGTCATAAAGCACTGCATCTGCAGCCACAGATAGAGCAGCTTTTACATTATCCTCCAGTAGAAGTTTGCCTTTTCACTACTTACTGTAGCATTAATGAGCAAGGAGACCATCCCGAGCATTAAGGAATAAACTGCTCAGAATCCTTAGCTATTCTACTTAGCTATGAACTGGCAGCAAAATGCCTGGCCTGGAGGTTATTATTGCTTTGGAAATGGCTGTTTCTTACCAAACTTTCAGGCACACATCCATGAATAATGGCTTGACACCCAGGCCCCATGCTAAGCACAGCCTTGGTTGGAGACAGGCCTATGTGGGCCCCTGTGGGAGGAATTTCTTCCACCACAGCCACCCCCTACTGCTAGAAATTAGTGCCCAAGTAGGTAAAGGACCTCAGTGGGGTTTCTTCAAAATAATCTTCCCAAATAAGATGCAGATGACAGATTTAACTCCCATATAGGTAGATAACTTTTCCTGGCATTTGTTTGATACCATTACTCATACAAAAATATGAAGATTTATCATCTGGCCCTCTGACAATGAATGATGTAGCAGTCAGCATGTGCTTACTCTTCCCAGGGCTTGGATACCACCAAACGGGTCTCTACTCTGGGAGGACAGTTCAAGCAATCCCTAGAAAAACTCATGAAAATCCTTGGTCAGTGCCAGCCATACTTCATCCGCTGCATCAAACCGAATGACTACAAGAAACCACTGGTAATGCTTTAACATTATGAGCTCTTGCCTTCAGTAAACTTTTTTTATGATGAAAAGGTATCAGTTGCTATGCAGCATTTTCTATCTGTACTTCAGCCAAGAAGAGCTGGAGTACAAGCCATTACTGTACGACAAAGGGCAATAGGATATAGTAATAGAGTAATAGAGTGAAGGATGGCAAAAAAGCACACAGGTGTGTTCCTGGGAGGAGCTGCAAAAGCCAGTCCTGTAAAGATAAGGAGCGAACTGGAGAGTTCCTAGCCCAATCAAGAGGACAAATGAAAAACAAAATAGGATTCAGCCACAATCATATTATGAAATAGCCTGAGAAAGATGAAGGGAGCTGTTGGTATTTGAGAGAGGGGTGATGCAGCCTGATTTGACACTACAAAAGAAGAGGAGCAAGTTTGTCGTTAAGATACTTGGCTGGAACTTGGGAAATCACAACCCAGTTCTACACCAAATCCTTGTATGGTGTTTGTCAAGTGACTTAATCATTTTTAAAGTACTGCATATGGTCCAATGAGCCTATTTTTAATCTCCGTTACAAAAAAAAAATAGCAGCACTCATGCTATGTATGCCCAAAGAACGTAAGTTTCTACTCCAGTTACTCACACCTGCAAACCAATATGAACAATTTATTGTTCACCTGAAATCACAGTTATAGAATTGAAAATGGTTGCTGAAGACAGTCTGAAGTTAATGGACTGCTTCCACTGCCAACAAACACAAATTTGAAGACCTTTTGGAGTGAAATGTTTATGCCTGTAATGAATTAATTTAGGACACTGAAATGAGAAGTGCAATTAAGAAAAGCCGTAGTAGGCCATTTTAAAGGCCCTCAGAGGTCACAGGTTAATAGATACATGTATATTTTGAGGAATGCTGCATGTACAGCTCCTTTTTGTATTAAGCCTCATCTTTGTCTGCTTTCTCTTCCAGTTATTTGACCGGGAGCTGTGTATTAAACAGCTGCGATATTCAGGGATGATGGAGACCATTCAGATCAGGAAAGCTGGCTACCCAATTCGCTACACCTTTGAGGAGTTCTTTGACAGATACAGAGTTCTCCTGCCGTGGTCTGTTCAACAACAGGTGTGTTAGCACAAGCTGGACTTAAGGCTAATCTAACTTTTCCTTATGAAGCTATAGTCTTTCCCATGGTAGAAAGTTCTTGGATTACTGCTGGCACAGCTCAGACAGCTGTCATCACAGTAACTGTAAATTACAAAAAACTCTAAATACTTACATGCTCAATTGGACCTTAGTTGAAACAATAGAGTGCTTTTAAGTCCTGGAGTTGCTCCACATAGACGTCCCAGGCACGGTGGCATATCTACTGCCCTCAGATATTTCATTTTCTGTAATCACACACTTCTGAGGTCACTGACATGCTTCCAGGCAATTTAACTCTGTAACGCTTCACCAAACACTAATGTTCCTCTGTTTCTTGACCATTTGAGCCAAACCACTTTCATTCATTATCCTGTCAGGCCAGAGGTCTGTCAGACCTCCTCTGTTTGTATTCCTTGCCCTATGAAATGCAAGGCAGTAGATCCTTACATAGTACCACCACTGTGTGTCCAACCAAGCCCTAATGTAATGATGCTTTTGCACATCAGCTGAAGAATGATGCTCGACAGTGCTGTATCGGCATCTCTGAAGCAGTGCTGGGCAAGGATGAGAGCTGGCAAGCTGGAGAGACCAAGATTTTCCTTAAAGTAAGTAAAAGGACAGTTTATTACCTCTTCCCCTGAAAAACTGAGCATTTCACAGTTAAGCCTGACTTGTCAATGTAAGAGTGGTGAACCAGAAGGACAGGGTTCTCCTATAAACTCTCTCTTGAATCTGAGACCGGATCTGTGTTCCTGAAGACCATGTAATTTGATGGACACAAGCTTAGTGTAGGAGGGGCTGATCCTTTTCCTGTGCTCCAGTGGTGCAGCTGAAACAGCACAGAGCAATGTATTGTACTGCTCAAGCCTGGAGCACAATGGATACCAACACACTGTCCCAGGGGAAGTCCTTGCCCTATGCAAGGTAAAAGCAGTCTTTTCCTAGACAGACTCTGTGATTGTTTATTGCTATAGCCAGACATGGTATGGCCAGATAGTGACAACTCTTCCTACTGCAGTTCCACAAACACATTTTAATCCCAGCTTGCACCATGTCATGCTGATTCTGTGTCTTTTTCAGACCATGTGTCCAGTTTTCAGAAGTTGTGTCTATTCAGCTGGCATATCAATGTTTTCTTTTAACAGGATCACCATGACACAGTATTGGAGTTGCAACGACAAAAAATACTCACAGATAAAGTTCTTCTTATCCAGAAGGTGATGAGAGGATTCAAGGACAGGTCAGTGATCTCACAAAATGGGATTTCCTTTGGTTTCTAGTGAGGTTTTAATATCCTAAGTGAAGCATTCCTGAGTATTAAATGTATCAATTCATACCTTCTGCTACCTCTCAATTCAATGCTCATCATGTAACAGTGCATCTATGCAGACTTTACACAAAGATTTGTTCTATCTGTACTATCAGTTTATTATCATGATGCTTTTCAAAATGCAGGACTGCTGCACATGCAGCTTGCATGTAGGGGAAGGACTGAAAGCAGGATTTGCACTTAATCTTTACAGCGAATAGCAGAGATAGGTATCTGGAAAGCAGGAAGTCTGCATGGAATGTAGGATCTTCTATTTTAGAATGCTTCTTTGATACAAGACATAGGTAGAAAAGAATAGGAAAGATAGAAAACTAACTAGTCCTTCTCCTTGACAAAGATGCACAATTCTAGTTTAGTTTGAAATATCTGCAGAACTAAAATTTAGTCACTGTCAGATAAATTGCCACCCTTGCTAAAATGCTTTACATCATGATTTTTTTTCATTAATTTTGTATTGCTCAGCCAGAACCATAATATAAGACTAACTCCTGGTTTGGTTTAGAAAACGTTCCTGACAATGGTGAAGCAATAACTATAACACAGGACACAAATGCCAATAAAATTCTCCCTTTTTGTCCAACTCTGCCTGTTATCTAAAAGAGTATTGCCCCTCTCTAAAAAACTCACCTGACTTATTTTTAGACTATCAGAGCTATGTGCAAGCTTTGACAACCACTGTGTGACAGCTTTTACCATACAAAGTTCTTGCTCAGATGTGCTCCTAGCCTTGGCAGTTGGGAAGCAAGTGGTCATTAGATGGGAGAGTTATCCCTGCTTTATGTGAAGGCTTTTTCAGCTCTTCCAGAACTCTCTTACTACAGCAATGAATTTGGTCTGCAGTTGCTATGAATATTTTTGCAGCATTAAAGGGCAAAGTCAGCTCAGACGTAAAAAGGTGGATTAGTAATACTTTTGTCTCATGCTTTCTACTAGCAAATGGATAGCAAACCAAATATGAAAGCTCTCACTTTGAGAGCTCAACTGATTGATTCACTAGCAGGATGAGCTGAGCCTGGGTGAAACTGGCCAAGGCCCTTGTCCTGAAAAGGTCAGGCAAAACAGCCTCTTCTGGCATTTGCATCAGCATGGAGAAGGTGTAAGCAGACAAAATGCTTTGAGAAAGGATAATTTTGATGCACATGGTACAAAAGTTTCTGACCAGACTAACCTTTGTGCTGCAACATAATACTTTTATTGGGCTACTCGGAAGCAAGAAGAACAGCCCTTGCTGTGCTTCAAGCTTGCTCTAGCAAGCTACTAGTATCTGAGCTAGTAAGTTTAACAACAGTTTTCCTGACATTAGCATTCTTAGATAGCAGTCAAGCCTGAGATCAGAGTCTAGAAATCCCATAAACATTAAAAACACATAAAAAAAAAAAAAAAAAAAAAAAACCTTATTCTTTATTCTTATCATATGAAGCAGCAGAAATAACGTACTGCTTGTCACCTCACCTGTCTGTTTGCTTAGGAAGCAGTTTCTGAAACAGAGGAAGTCTGCTGTAGCCATTCAGGCAGCCTGGCGAGGCTACTGCTGCCGGAAGAATTTCAGAATGGTAAGAGTGTATATATAAGTGTGTGTGTGTGTGTGTGTGTGTGTGTGTGTGTGTGTATTTATACACTGTGCTTTGTAAGATTGAGTGAAGTGATTGAATGAAGATATTCACAAATGAAAAGGGAAGAGGCAGAATGTCAGGACTTACCGGGTCCATGGAGGACTCGGGGGCATCTCAGGGCTTGCTGAACTTGTGACATTTCTGCTTTCCAGTGAAACAGTAACACAACTAACCTCTGGCAGGCCTGGCTGCAGCAAGCTGGCACCCAAGTGTTCCAACACTTCTAGTCAGGAGTCCAGGGCTAGCATTTGTGCATCACTACCAAGCTGTGAGCAAAGGATCTTCCACAACTGTTACAGGAAAATTGGGAATCTGTAATAGAAAAAAAATCATTGTATCGATCTCTAAAAATTAATAAGCTGAACTTCTACAGATGGTGGCTTTTGTGGTTAAGGAAAGCTACACCGTACTGGAGGTGCCCACATATTGTGTATTTGTATGGGAGAGATTGCTATTACTATGTAAGAGAACATCCCATTTGTAAAGAGTGAGAGGAGAAACTGCCAATTTCAGTGAGAAACATTTTCTATTCTGCATCAAAGTAACACAATTCCTATCTGAACAGCCAGGGTGTTGTCCCGCATTTGGCCCTGTCCTTTTCTGCTGCTTCTCTCAGTATTAAGGTACCTATCTCTCCCAACTCCATGCTGCCTTTTTTTTTTTTTTTTCCCCAATATACTCAGTTTCATTTCTACTCTCTTCTTTCCCTTGTCAAAATCTCAGGCTGACACTGCCTGAAGCCACTCCATAGAAAAGCTCCTCAAAAGAACGCTATCTCATCTAGTTTCAAAAGTGTATCACTGGAAGAAGAAATTAAAGCATTCTTTTATAGATGGCAGTAACCCATGAATCCCTTCCAGTGGCTTTATCCAATTACTGAATTTTGTTATCTTCTATTCATCCCAACTTAACCCCAGTCTCACTTGCTTTGAACACCAATCACTTTTTTTTTCTTCCCCACCTCCTACAGATTATGCTGGGTTTTGGACGCCTGCAGGCCCTCTACCGGAGCCGTCAGCTTGCCAAACAGTATGAAACAACCCGGGCTCGTGTCATCAAGTTTCAAGCTGCATGCCGTGGTTATCTAATACGTCAAAAAATAGGAACGTGGAAGAAAGCGGTATGTCTTATACAGGCACAATGCAAGGGGCGTGTTTGCTTGCCAAACTTTGCAAAGGATGAAGAGGGAGGTATGCGTATCTGTCCAGATACCTCATGAATATCATGTTGTTTCTATGAGGTTCTGAGAGTCAGTGACCAGCAAGCGTTGCCATTGGATAGCACTGAATGTGGATATTAATTTGGGAATATTTTATTTTGAGGTATAAAAACAGAGTTTTAAAAGAAGCTACCAGGTTTGAAGAGGTAGGCATGTCAACTAAGGAACACTGAACGCTACGTAGTTTGGCTGACAAGATGGCTTGCCCAGTTTACATGTGGACTTGCTCAAAGACCTGAATACTGCTATATTTTAGAGAATAGTAAGACACAGAGTTGTAAACTTACTTGTAAGGATGATTTAGAAATGGGACAAGGTAAACACATACACGTTTCTGTTTGCAATATGAGCTGGCACTTTAGCCAAGCATGCACAATGTTATTACAGCCTCCTGACAGAAAACATTTTAAAATTTTAAATAACATGTATTATTTTTCTACTATTAGGAATACTTTGTTTTTCCTAAAGTGATTTATTTTTTCTTTTAGTGATACAGTTCTTCAAAATTGTGCATTATTACTAATAGACCAGCAGTCTATTGGGATAGCTGTAAGAGCAAAGCCCTGTTGATGAGATATGTCTTTGTGACCGCTTAGCACAAGCAACATTTGCCCTCACATTCCAGCATTGCACTAGCAGAGCTGGACCTCACTGTCATAGCACATTTGTAATTGCCTTTCATCCTTGCACCCATTCTTTGTATCAGAATGATGTTCCAGTTATGCTTAACCAAATTCTATGTTTAAAGAAACACCTGTCTACTCTGGAAATAAATGAGGAAGAAGAAAGACAAAGGAGGACAGATGTCTTTGCCAGCAGACCAGCAAATGATGAGGTTATCAGTGACCAAGAGATGGTTGACAAAATTTTTGGGTTTTTACCTTCTATGATTGGAGGCCAAGAAGGACAGGCTCCCCTGGGCTTTGAGGTATGGAGCTGCAGAGTGGTAATGTGTCATGTTCATTCCCTGTGTAAATCCATCAGCTTTCTTTGAATTTCTGTCAATTCTGTTTAATGGACTTTTGTACAGTGGAAGATACACCCAAATTAGTCATCCAGACAGGAACTGCTTTCAGAGATCAGCTCCCAAAAGTTTTTGATCATGTGCAGTTTAAGAACTGTGTGTCTTCAAAAGCCACTTCATATTTGTTTCTTTCCTCCAACAGCCCCCCACCAAACAGAGCCATTCTCTCCATTTTGGCACTGACCATATGTTCTGTCGCCATTGCTCTTAGTGATTTTCCAGCTGACACAAGCTGGAAGTTTATGACCTAAATTACCCCATTTTATGAAAAGCAAAATTTGAGATATACTAGTCCTGACAACAGTGGAGGATAGAATGGGGTAGGGAGAGCAGAATAGTCTGGATTAGCGCAGGATATGAGTAATAGAAGAGTATCTGCATTTTCCAACCAGCAATATTCTTGGCCAGCTGAAGACCAGGGCAGGAAGGCCATATAGAATAGATGCATCTCAGAACAAGCCCCGAGTCCCAGCAGTCTGTTGGTATCAGCCGAAAATGGCTTTGGGTTTATCTGGAAAGCCACATTCTGGAGGACCTATGGCTAAGCAGAAAAAGAAATAGAAGAAAGAAAAGGGAAATAAAATAAATAAATAACATATAATAAGAATATCAGGTTAGAGGAAAGGAAAACACATTTCTTCCTCATGTTCTGCACAGGACTTAGAAACAAAGCCCCATAAGCTGGAAGAGGTGGACCTGGACACAATTCCCATGAGTGTGGAGCTAGAAGAGGAAACAGATGGCTTGGAGGAGTACACCTTCCCCAAATTTGCCGCTACTTATTTTCAGGGGTCGTCTACACATACACATATCCGGAGACCACTGCGACACCCGCTACTTTACCATGATGATAAAGACAACGTCCTGGTATCTTGTTCCTGCGTGTCGGTGAACCTGTTCCCCCTGCCTCAGGCACAGCCCTAGGAACCAGAGTCTTTAGAGTCAAGCAAATACCCCTAAGCACTTGTATGAAAATAGTAGTTTCCATCAGCATTTTGTGGTGCTTTGCAGGCAGGCGTTTCACACGGATACCTCCCCGGCACAAGATATCTGTTCACCTTTAGTTTGCCAACAGAGAGAACACCGAGGCTTATTTTGACTTCTCCAGATACCCACTGGGGGTAAAAGTGGACTGGGGAGAGGAAAGCATCAGGGCTCACCCATCTCTTGCTAGGGTTGCTGGTCTGTGACAGAAGTGGACAGGAGGCCTGTGCACCAGATTTTCCTGTTGAACCATAGGGGGGTGGAGGAGGGGAGTTTTTCTTGATGCTAAGCAGCTTTGTAGAATGGAGGATCCCGTGCTGCAAAAACTTTGCTATTATTTGGCTTCCTAGTTCTGGGTGTCAGGCTTCTAGAAGAGCTCACTGCATTGCTGTCCACCCAGGTGGGTAAATGCAGAGTGCAGTGACAGTTTCTCTGTTCCACTCTGGCTGCAGTGCACATGCAAAGTGCCAGTAACGGGAATGGTGAGGGTTCAGCAACCACAGAGCAAATCTGATAATCCCACTAGAACTGCACCCACTTCCTGAGAGTGTCAAGAATGTTGCTCACATGTGGTATGACGCGAAAGTAAACTTTAGGTGTAAATAGTGGGAGAGACGGGATTTTAACAGCTTGCCTGGGTAAAAGAAGAAAGTGGTCTAATCTAAAGAGGAAGAAATGGCACGAAGCCTTTAATTCTCTTGACACTGTCTGACTCTGCTTCCTGTCACTGCAGGCTTCTCTAGTTGTTTGGGTAATTATCCTGAGATTCATGGGGGACCTGCCAGAGCCAGCAATGTTTGCCAGGAACGTCACCAAGAACAGTTCCGTGATGACACAGATATATGACACACTTGGCAGGAAAAACCAGGTCCAGTTCAAGAGCGACAGCCCAGGCATGGTAAGATGAGCTATGAGGCTATGTTTGTATTTTCATATGCTTTCCTTGGTTGCTCTGATGTTCTACCAAGACTGAGAAAAGCAAACTAACCTTTGCATGCTACAGGTCTTGAAATACTAGAAGTGCAAAAGGGCCCCTGTCAGTCCTAGGACACAGCAGCTCCTTCTGGCAAGAGAGGACAAAACAAAAACATCTCTATTTGATCATCTTTCCTTTCCTAATGATTAGTTCTTGCTGTGCATTAAAGTAATTTCCTATAATGGTACTGTGTGTTGCAGAGAGAAAGCAGAAAGGATAACAAGATTTCCAAGGGTATCTCTTCCCTGAAGCTGAAACGGTCCTCCAAGTTGACAGGGAAGGTAAGAGCTGGAAATAAATGGCTTCCCCTAAGTCTCTTTGTCTGGACCCCTGTCTGACAAATGTGTGACAGCAGCGTCCTGGCTGGGAACTCATTCCCTTGCCAAGCAAGGTCAGCTGTGTTTATGGGATACCTGGTGCATTATTATCCTTCTTTTGAAATTATCCCCATGTACACTAACATCACTCATTATCTGGCAGATTCCCTTCATCCCTTCCTGCTGGAGAGTGACTCCTGAACACAGTGAACAATTTATTATTGGGAACTGTTGCTATTACAGAACAGTTTGCCTAAAGTCCTGTGCGGAACGAGAACCACCATGTGCTTAGGGCTGTACAAGACAGTACAATAACATTTACCTAGCCAGTAATAATAGCACTGTAATACTGCATTTTATGACTTAGTTTGTGAGGAGGGGGGAAATATGATCTGGTCCTAACCACTTTTTCACTGAGTAGGAAAAGATTTAGCCAGAAAGACTGAGAAAGAATGTCTCTCATTTCTGGGAGAGTTGCCTGGTAAGAAGGAAGATTTCTAGAGCACTCAGGAGTTCTGGTTGGCTTCTTTCAGGTGACAGACCAGCTGAGAAGTGGAGAAGAGGGTTTCCAGGAGGACACCTCGATCTCTGAAAGACCTATGTCTAACTTAGAAAAAGTGCACTTCATCATTGGCAATGCAATTCTGCGCCCTGCCATCAGGTAGGAAACTTGCACCTCTCCTTTCTAGGATCAGGGACCCATTACATCAGGGAAATCCCCTTTCCTAAATCCTTGAGACGTTTTCCTTATATTGGAAATGTCCCACTTTCACCTCTCGGGGTTCCTGACTGAAAGTCCAAGCTAGACGCATACAACTGAGACTCCAGGCCAAGCACCTCTTCAGCAGATGGTTCACCTTTCTCACGGTTTAGGTCAGCTGCCTCCACGTGTGGCTTTCTGAATCTCTCTTGGGTACGTAATGGAGCAGAGCTCAGTGCTGTAAACCAATAATACATGCACGCCCTCGTATGAGGAAAAAGAAAACCTAAGAGAGAGTAAGAAATAAGGGGTTTATGAACACTAGGTGTAAGACATGCTCATAACCTCAGTTTCTCAATGGCATGTTTCTGGGCCTCTAGCAATGTACTCAAATCAAAGACTGGCTGGTTTCCTGAGCAACTCAGACACTAAACAGGGAATTCTGCTCACAAGCAACATGAGGCTGGGCATTAGCCTAAGCATGGTGTGAGGATGAGACAGTCTGGTTGTTTCTGTCTGAACCTTGTGAATTCTCTCTTCCATTTTAGCCTGTTTTAGCTTATGCAACACACTTCTGTTACAATGTACCTAGGCAGAGGCCCTGCCTTGGCCTCAGCCATAGGTTGCATTCCTCTCTACCTCAGTGTTTTGTTTCAGTCAAAATGCTCCCAGAAGCAGATCCCCATCTGGCAAAAATTGCCTTCAATCAATGTATCATAACGGCCACAAGCCATCTGCTCCCTCAGTCTGCTTTTCATCATATGTGCTACCTGTGAGCAAAAACTTCATCTGCCTTGCATCTTCCCACATCAAACTCATCAAATGTGTGTTCCAAGAGAAAACTTAAAATGAGTTTTATTTGTATGCAGCTTTTTGCATCTGTTTCCCATACATCCTTGCTTCAGGCAACTTGCGTTTTCAGAAGCTTACTCTGAAGCACCCTTTTCTCTGTTACTGTCTGAGGCCTCACACCATTTGCTCCAAGTTTTCTAAAAATGTAAAATTAAGAAGGATATCCCTCCCTCTCCCCCTCTTATTTCAAAATCTACATATGATCTGACAAACAAGAGCCATGAGAAAAAAGCCACGTACTGTGGAGAGCTTAGAGCAAGTTTCACACAGAGTAGACAGCAAGGCCATTTTGCATCTGGATAAACCAGGAGCTCGTTTTCTTGCACAGCCCCCCAGCTTATCATGGGAGGTATTCCAGCATGGAAACTGCACTTGAACTGCATGAGTAACAAGGGGTTTCAAAGGACAGTAGGCTTATTTTGAGCCTTTTTTCTACCAAAGCAACAACACAGTAATTTACTGTCACACACTGCAGGTGGTATCCTAGTTAACGTAGTTAAATCTAGCTCAGATCTACTTCATTATGCCAAGCTTGTGATGGAAATGTAGCCAAAGACTGTTAATCATCATTATCTGTTGCTTTCACATGTTTTATTACAGAGACGAGATTTATTGCCAGATTTGCAAACAACTATCTGAAAACAGCAACAGGAACAGCTATGCTCGAGGCTGGATACTTCTGTCACTTTGCCTTGGTTGCTTTCCTCCTTCAGAAACATTTTTGAAGGTACATTGTTCACTTCTCCTATAGCAGCTTAAATGCCTCAGCTGATCTCATTTCTTTTGTATGGTAGTTTTTTGATACAAATAGTCATGTAAATTGTTTGGCTGCCATAGCAGTTGGCACTGTGATTTTTGCAGAAACAATCTCATCTCATATGCTTACCTTGTAATTTAAAGAAGTTATCACTGTATTCACGTTAAACTATTTTTCTTGACATGCCATACGAGTCAGATACTGTTGTTGATCCAGCCTTCATTTTAGATCTTTAATCTCCAAAGAATCCGGCAGATTTTACCCTCTCCACTCCTGCTTTTCCAGCATTTAAAACCTATCTTCAGTTACGATCCAAGTCATTAAGTATACTCAGGAGTCCTGTGTAAGATCACCCCCTATATTTCACCAGTTCTTACCCTACATCTCCAAGCCCCATAAAATCCAATAGATTTGGACTCTTTCATCATTTTTAAAAATACATTAATTTCTAAATTTAGATTGATAAATCCACCTCACCACACAAAAACAAACTGTGGCTTCAACTTGACATTGGCTTTCCTTCTAAGTATTAGAGGCATACACAATCCATAGATATCCCTGAATCTTCAGCCTTTATTTGATACTCTTGCTCAAATGATTACTCATATATGCTGCCAAGTGGTCACTATTTACTAAAAACAGACACAAGCCGTAGACCCAAGCTTGCAATAAATACAAGTCAAGTATGTAAATACTTGCTTGGTGGTATAAATCCACGTTTATACCACATCATCCAAGGTAATTGAGCCCTACAACTCCAAAAGCTCAGTTCCTCCAATCCTTCTCTTCCGTTAATCATGGACTTCAACCATTTATATTATCAGAGAACTTAATAAAACTAAGAGTAACCATAATCAGCAGCCCTAACATGCCATTAGCCCTCTTCATACAGAATGTCACAAGACCTCAGGCTCTTCAGTTGGAAACACTAACCCTTGTCTGTAGCATAAGCATAGGAATAAACACTCTCAATTGCCTAGTATTTCTGGTACAGTTAAACATAATCAATAGACGTATACTGACACAAGCCTTCCTTTTCAGTCTAAAAGCTTGCAGAATGCAGGTAGCCTTCATCATTCTAATATATTCTATCAGCTAAAGAGGGTTTCTAGTGTTTTATGGCCATTAGTGTTTCCTAATTCTTTCCTATGCTTTGTGCATACAGTACCTGCTGAATTTCATCCACAAGGGGCCCTCAGGCTACGCACCATATTGTGCTGAACGTCTGAGACGTACCTATGTCAATGGAGCAAGGACTGAACCTCCAAGCTGGCTGGAACTTCAGGTAGCATCTCTTTTTGCTTAGTTATATTGAACTGTGTCATTTTATGCTGGACTGCATTTACTAATCTGCGCAAACAGATCTTCCTAAGTCCAGTAGTGGAAATGAATTGTGCAAGGGGTTTGAAGACCAACTGCCTTAGTCTGTATAGCTTCTTAAGGTTTCTTATGGGTTTTCTAGCTGTTCCATTAACCTAAATCCACTGGAGAATGTAAGTTAGAGCTACACCACGTGATTTGCAGCGAGATACCTCCATCCACTCAGGAGCTACAGGCCAGAACCATCTACTGAGGGAAGCTCTACATATTTTTGGAAAGAACTGAGTGGGGCTTGTGCTTTTAAAATGGAGGGCAGAAGTGCATATGATACTGTTACATTGCCCACCCCCTTCCTTTAAATGTCAGCCTAAAAATTAGAAGTCACATAAACCGTAAATGAAGATGCCTGTTTAAGTTCTTCCTAAACCTGAGTGACTCCGCTGCCTAACATGCATCTTCCTGGGCAAAATGCTTGCTGCAGGCTATCTGTCCACTGATGCAGATAAGGCTGCACCTAAAAGTCAACGTGCTAAAAAGGACTCAGGAAAAGTCTATCAATCCACGCTGATATGCAATGATCAGCTCCCCTGAGCTGTGAACTTGATTCCAGTGCTGTTCCAGAGAGGTCGTTTATATTTAAAACTCACTATGCATTGAAGAAACTGGGTGGGCTTTCAAGGTTTACTTAGATTGTTGACTAGGGTGTACAGAGTGCGGAGCTCTTAAATCTAAATGCCTTCTTCAGTTTCTATGGAAAAATAAGGTTTGCACATAATTTATTTCTCTCCTTTACATCTGACTTACAGGCAACAAAGCAGAAGAAACCAATTGTGTTTAATGTCACCCTGATGAACGGCCAAAGCATCACTGTCCCTGCAGACTCTGCTTCCATTGCCAAAGAGATCTGTCAGTTCATAGCAGATAAAACCAAACTGAAGGATGTGTTTGGTTTTTCACTCTACATTGCTGTGTTTGATAAGGTAAGGTGTAGAAAACTAGAACTGGAGCTGCCTTCTCTTTCCGTGGAGTTACAGCTGCATGGAATCCCTGTGACTTCTGAAAGCATTTCTGTCCCCATCCTAGCGCTTGAATTAAATCGGTTCTGGACACCAGCTGAATACCAGGGCAGTGCAGCACTATGGTCTCCCCCAGTTCTGGGATCCCACCGACAGCTGGCTGTGCATGCAGCACTGCAGAACTGCTGGAATGGGGTCAAACTAGCAGGTCATATACTAGGGTGCCCTGTTTAAAGGCCTACATGTATTTCCTACCTGCGCTGCTGCACACAACCTTCTTGTCTTGTGTTACATATGGTGCTGCTGATACAGTCCCTACCACGTGGTGCATGCATTGAAAGCCACCAGCTTTGCAGCAGGGCTGCTACTGTTAGCTCACATGATGGCATTTTAGCCTCCATTTTGTTTTGTTTTTCCCTCTCTCTCTCTCTTTTAACAGTAATACTGGGGAACAGATATACACAACAGGATGATATCTTGGTGCTCAGAGTTAGGTACCAATTGCAAAAAAACATATTTCAGAGATGGCACGTTTGTTTAGATTACAGAAACACTTACATGCACATTTAAGGGAATATACAAGGGATAAGCAGAAGTACAAGGAGACAAACAGAAGATTGCAAACCTTGCAGAGCTGTCTCATCTCATCTTCTACCTTATATTTTCCAATACCATCCCTGCACTTAAAAATACACACTTGCCAAAGTGTAACTTGCACATCCATCTGCTTACCTTTTCAGAGATTTTCGTCTTTTTTTTTTTCTGTCAGGAGACCAAGGAGGTTTGGGCTTGTTGTCCTTTGTTCAGATGCAAAGTAGATATGCCAGTAAATGCAGTGTCCCTTTCTTCTAGGTCTGGTCACTGGGTGGGGGACGAGATCATGTCCTAGATGCCATCTCTCAATGTGAGCAGCTAGCAAAGGAGAAGGGCACGCATGAACGCAATGCACCTTGGAGGCTTTACTTTAGGAAGGAAATCTTCACCCCCTGGCACAACTCCCAGGAGGATCCCATCAGCACAGATCTCATTTACCATCAAGTCATTCGTGGCATCCGGTTTGGAGAATATCGTTGTGAGAAGGTGGGTCTCCTTGTTCATCCTCCTAAAGAGACAAAACTGAACGAACATTAGAAAGCGAGAGGATGAACAAAGTTTCTAATGGCTGTGAACAACTCTTTCCGTCTAATGGACAATTCTTGTCAAGGTGATTATGCCAGCTGTCACGCTGGCCGCTGTAATAGATTTTTTTTTGTAGCTCAGTTCATGTGGCAACTGGAGGCATGTTCAGAGGAACAATTTGTGTCCCTTTGAAATATCTTTGTTAATAATCTCTTTGATGCTATGATTGTATGAAGTTAATCTCTCCTTATGCTGTATGGCTGCCAAGAGTTATCCAGAAAAAGGTGGGGGAAAAAAACAGTTCCTAAAGTGCCTTCGAGGCTGAACAAAGCTAGCTGGACTTTGTGACATTTTTCTAGGCCTCTTTTAATGAATTAATTATTTCAGGAGGAGGATTTGGTGGAGATCGGTGCAAAATATTGTTACATCCAGTTTGGAGATTCTATCCACAATGAACTTGTGCAGAAAGCGCTCCATGACTGCATCCCAGTGAAACAGCTGAAATCCAAGCCCCTGGAAAAGTGGGTGAGCCTTATAACCTACGCACATGCTAAGGTAAGAGGTTTGTCTGGCACTTCTGGGTAACTACTCTCAAGCACCAGCTTCTGCATCTTTCATCATTTCTATTCTATTGAGGGAAGAAGGAAAAACATCTGTTTGTCTATCCTAAATAGTTAGGACTGGGAGAGAGGAGAATCTTTCCACTCATTCTTACATATAGGGCTCAACAGGGAGCCAGAACAAAGTACAGTTAAATCTCTTTTTTAAGGTTATTTCCCATCTGACATTTGAGTCAGAATGGGCACTGGATGGAGAATAATTTTGGTCTGCAAATAGGTTACCTGAGTAATTTTCATGGCACCCAGAACGTGTTATACTTTTAACCCATCAGTGGGGTTTTGAGGGAAACCTGAAATCCACGTGCCCATGGGCAGCCTTAGCTGCTTGTGGCTTGGTCCCCTGGAGACTGTTCCCTTTTTGAATTTCACCAGGTACTCTTGACATCAATGATAGCAAAGGGCTGTTGGGAACCTGTGGAATGAACTTGCTCTTTATTGTCTGCAGATTATGTAACTCAGAATTTACTGAGAAAAATTTGCCTTTTTCTATTGCAGGCCCCATACACGCAGGATCGTCTTTCCCGTCAGACTGTGAAAGAACAGCTTGTAGATTTTGCTCGCTTTCAGTGGCCTTTGCTTTTTTCCAGATTCTTTGAAGTCACTAAGTTTTCAGGTAATGTCTTCAGCCTAGGAGTAGAGGACAACTATAAAATCAACAGAGAAGGACTTGTATAGCATTGAGTAGTTTTCTCTGCATTTCCAGGTCCCAGCTTGCCCAAGAACCACTTTATACTTGCTGTAAATTGGAAAGGTATCTGCTTCTTGGATGAGTCAGAAAAGCAGATCCTTGATCTGACCTTCCCAGAGATAACTGGCATCCACACCAATCGGTGAGTGCACAGAAATACAAGATCTGAAGAAGGCAGCCCTGCCCACCTTCAGAAAGGGGTCTCCATGTAGGAGGGAGGTGTACTTTCTCTGCCGTCCCCCTAAGTGATTTGATCTGAGCCTGGAATGGTGGTTTAGCCTAAGTCTGGGGAAAAAAAAAGGACACGTTCTAGCAGCCTGTAAAGGAAATACTGAAATGGCCAAATATTCCTGATCAGTGGAAGGACCCTGCTCAACTGGAAAGGTGTAAGGAAACACAGATGTGTGAGACAAGAATGACCCAAATAGCACAGTTAAGCCATCAACAGCTGTACATGTGGGGAGTTCCTATAATTCTCAAGTGTGATGGAGCCGAACAGAATAGCTTAGAGAAAAAAGGTGTAATCATTGGCTCACTCAGGGCACACATCCTTGCATCAGATCATTTAGAGCTTAGGGTCTTACATACAAAAAGAATACCTCTGCAAGGATGAAAACATATTTAATTAGTTGCCCAGTTAATCCAAAAGAAAGGTGTTCTGCTATCTATACTGAAGCATTTTTGTACATAATATGCTGGAGTCCAAAGAACCTGAAGCATGTCAGTTCTTCAGACCTACCAAATCATGAGAAGACAAATTAGGATCTACCAATGCACACTCTAAGGCAGTTGTCTACTACAAGGCGGTGTAGGTTCCTTGGCTGTGATTGCAGATGGCTCTGTAAGTTTTCCAGACACTCTGGTAACTAACTATTCAATAATACATAGGGCAGTGAAATCGTTTGGACAGAGTTGCACTCTCATCACACTTCGTGCCGAGGAGTTTGTTCTGACATCTGTAAACAGCATTGTCATTGCTGAACTGGTGGTCATGTTTCTGGAAGGACTAAAGAAGAGATCACGATTTGCTGTGGCAATGAATGAGAAAAGACCCCAAGGTAAGCTTTAGAACTTTTCAACAGAGTAGGGAAGAAACCTTGAGAGAACCCACAGCACTTCTTTGGAAGAGCTCAGAGAAGTGGGAGAACTTGAGCAAGACTTGTTCTGCTCCAGGATGAACGCACAGTGATCAGCACAGTTATGCCAAGTGTAAGGCAAGGTGATTCAAGACCTTCACTTACAGATTAGTCTACTTTCGTGTATATTTTGTTTAGATAGGTGGCCAACAACTCAGCCTGCTTATAGTAGGAAGCTGGAGTTGGGTTCCCTGGAAATACTTTCCAGAAAACTTTCACAGGTGGTAAACTGGAATTTCTTTCCATGCTCTACTGCCAGCTCTAGACAGAAATTCTGTATCCATTTGATTCAGATGGAGTTCTACTTTTGCCTTCACTGGAACCAAAATCAGTCTGGCAGAGAACATTTAAGTGATTTCTATGAAGTGTTATTGGACGATTAGCTGTATTTACACAAATCACTTTCTGTTGCTAATTGAATTCAGACCTTCAAAATACAATTCTCTTGTCTTTCATGTTGAAATGCCTTTACATTTCTTGGACTGTCAAGCCTGAACAGTACTCCCTTATTCTGTTTTTTCAGAAGATCCTGCCATCCTGTCCTTCAAGAAGGGAGACTTGCTAATCTTGACCGAGGATAAAAGACTAGATGCAAGCTCTGGTTGGATTTATGCCCAGAATGAGAGGACAGGCAAAACAGGGAATGTATTTTTGGAAGAGATCTACATTGTTCCTTCTCTCACAAAACCCTCTAGTCAAGTGCTGGTAAGAAAGCTGTACAGTCTTTCAAGAGACTGGAAGATAAGTGTTAAATAGGATTAAATTTATAAATGGAAATTAATCATTCTTTTGAATTCAGACAAGTTCTGTATCTTCCAGTGAAACAAAGCATTTTATTCTGTCATCTCTGAAAACAAAACTAAACCTAGCCCAAACTCTAAGGAGAAGACTGCATTTACACAAAAGCAATGACCTTCAAAATAATAGTACATTCACTATTAGAGGGTTCAGTACATGGAACTTGTAGCAATTAATAGGTGTGCAGTTGAATTTTCTTGCAGAAAAGCTTTCCTGCAAAGTACAGCAGGGTGCTTTAAAAGAACATGGTCTTCCAGGGATTCAACACAAGGTTTCCCATTGATCACTGTTTGTTAACAATTTTTTCTTCAGTTTTGGAGACTCAGCATATTGGCTACTGTGCTAACAAGTTATAAACTGAAGAACTGGGCAAAAAGCCCCACACCAGTGTTAAGTAGGTGCAATTTTAATACGCCACGTGACATGTCCACGTGACATCTGTACATGTGTCCTTTCAGAGTTTGCTGATGATGTCTCCAGACCAGAGGAGGACAGCTTCACAGAACTCCTACATGGATCAGCCTGATGAAGAGGATCTCAAAGTGAAGCCTTACACCCTGGAGGAATTCTCCTATGAACACTTCAGGTGAAGCTCCCTGTGCAGCGTGGGCCCTAGGAAAGTTCTAGGCTTAAGGATCACTGAAGAACAACTAGGATGTAATCAGTTCCTGACTGGGTTTCTTCTCTTTGTTCCCTGTAATGAAGTGTAACTTTGGACATACAGAGATTCAGTCATATGGCCTGCTTCTATCTTTTGTCTGCAGAAATACAGAGGGACAGGTAGAAGAATCCCAGCTGGAACTTTTTATTTTCTTTCCAGCAGGCCCTGTGCTTACTTCTCATCCATTCTTCAGCACACACTAGCTAGAACTTACCATTTACACAACATCTGAGGGAGAAAAACTTCTTTTTGCACCATCCTCCTTTCTGGATCTTAAAGAAGCTACATTTTCCTGCTTTTTGCTGACCTGCATAATCAAAGCAAATATGAAAACACTGTCTTGGGAAAGAATGCATAGAGATCTCTCTTTTTGATCATCATCTATGTTCACAGCAATACTGATCCAGTAATTTTGTGTTGCCTGCACTTGTCTTCATTCAGGACTCCTGAGAAGGAATCCATTAGCAAAGCTGTTCTCCAGAAATCTCGTGGACGCAATCAGCTGTGGGCACACTCTAAGGAACCCTTAAAGCAGCCCTTGCTGAAGAAAGCATGCACAGACCCTGATCTTCGGGACCTGGCTTGTCAGGCCTTCATTGATATCCTTTCACTTTTCTTTTTGGGACCCGAGAACTCTTGGTGGAAAGAGCTGCTTCCACTAAACTCACCTCCACTGAGATAATACCACATCCACATTACTTGTGGTTCACTTACATTAATCAGAGGAGGGATGGTGTGTTTGAATTAAGTCAGCTCTGCATGACTTAACATTTTTCCCTTGTCTACAGAGTTTCTATTCCTCCCAATACTCCACAACTGGTGACAACCTACTTAACTGAGAACGGGGCTATAGGGGTGAGTGGGATTTACTATATATACCCAGAACAAGCAGTAACTGCTGCTCAAGGAAAGGGGACGATCACAGAATATATTCCAGACCTTCCTCTCAGTATTTCCCACTCACACCTCAGCAGAGTAGCTTAACATATTAGGATCCAAGTAAGACTTCCCATTTATCTTTCAAAAATGACCTGCTTTTGTCCTTAACAGAGCATTTACCCATCATGAAATTCATGGGGGACTACCCATCAAAACAGGCACACTCTTCTGTGGAAGTCACTGACCAGATATTCGTGGCAGCTATTCAGGAAGAGGTCCTGCAGGATGAAATTTACTGTCAGATCATGAAGCAGCTGACTGAGAACAGAAACAGGTACTCACCAAAGTTCAAACAGCCTGCTTCTATAGGCCCCAGGGTTCTTAAGTGCAGGTGGTGATCAGGAAACTCTGCTACACCTGTGGTAGGGTGGGGACAGACAGAAGGGTATGCAAATGGGCTGCTACCCTCTCTGGGGCTCACCTTTTCAGAGCACTCAGAACCACTGACTGGCACTGCTAGGCCATGGAGTGGGACCATTATTCATCTCCCTTCAGCTGCTCCCATCAGCATTCATTGTTCATCTCTGTGCACTATGGCCAGAAAGGTGTTACTGAAGCCTTTTTTTGTCCTAATGCAGCCTGTGGAGAAAACATGATATTGCAGAGGGTTCTTGGATGCTTTCAATGACTGTTCTGCCAGCCCTCCATTTGTTTTAAGCTTCCCAATGACAGTATTTCCCTTTTACAAGCATGTAGTTCACACTAAGTTTTATTTACCACCAGTGAATCCTTCTGAATAGTTACATTAATTAGCTTACACAACTGGCTTGCCGAACACATAGTTACACAAGAGCCCCTACACACAGGTAAGTCTCAGAAACAGGTTGGTGTTTTGCTTCCCAACCTATAAAATACTAATTTGACCTACTTTCAGAGGAGTTGAATTGCAAAAAGAACCTTAAGATATTAATAAAACAATTCTAATTATTAAAAAAATGGTTTGTCAATTTCTGGCTGCATTGTGACACTGCAAAAGTTAGAGAAGGAGCCTCTATTTATTTGTGTCTTTTTTCTTACTGTACAAATTAGTATAGTGGGACTGTACTCATATTATATTTATATTATATAGTGGAACTCTTACCATGAGTGTAACTATTAAATGGTAAATCTCCTTGCATGCAGTAAATCTTACAGGATATTTAATGCACAGTCTGTAACCATGGTGCCAGTGCCATTCCTGCTATACTCTACCAATTCAGTCCTGTGGGTCATTCAGTGTTTTTTTTGAGAGGTGGAGAAAATGCTTGAAAAGTGGTTATTTCCATATATTTTCTTTAGAACAGCCACAGCAACAAATCTTATCCTTCCCAGACTCCTGTCCTGTGGACAATGTCCTGCTCTCAAACAGACACAAACACCACTGATCTATAGAGTATAAATGGGATTAAAATCGTGTTTCTTCACCTGCAAAACTGGAAAAGTAAATGGGAATAAAGAAGCCAGGACCTCTTTATTCTGCAGAGTCCTGATGCCAATTTAGAGACAGACCTACTGGCTTTCCCAAGCAACACCACTTAGCATTTTGGAGCAATCCCTGGGACACAGATGAAGTGTGTTCTGCTCCTGGCTTTGAAAGCAGAATCACTGACCACCTACAGAGTCTTACTGATTAGGGTGAGATGCCAGAAGAACTTTGGCTGGCAAATTTCACAGACCCAGAGGCTGGAGGAACTGTCATTTTTAAGAGCTGTAACTACCTCACTACACGATGTCACCTGCTTGCTCATTTTTCAGAAGAGGAACACATGTAAGGGAAAGTGAATTGCAAGCAAAGTGCTTGTGTTCTGGAAAAAGCTGCCCAGCACAGAGGGCAGGTGAATAAAAATGCTTGATAAAACACAATCCAAACAACTGTGAGCTTGAACAGTAAATTGACAGTGGTTTTCGCAGGGAATAGCACCAAGGTCACTGCTGCCAAGATGACTGTTAAACTGGAGCTTGTATTTATTCATGAGATTTGCAACTGCTACAATACTTATCAGCCAGGATTTAGCATTACCTTCACATTCGGGCTGTGGTTGTTGCACAGAGAATGGCTGTCAGCTCCTGTGTGGAGGCTCTGTTGATTTGCAGCTCTCTGCTGAATGCCACCATGTGCCATGATGGGAGTGTGTTTCTCTTCCCTAAAGCTGGTGTGTGCTCAAAGGAAGAATTACGTGCAGCTCCAGCAGAACCATTTGCTTTGTGTTCACAGGTACAGTGTGACCAAGGGCTGGCAGCTTCTTTGGCTCTGCACCGGCCTGTTCCCACCCAGCAAGTCACTGCTAAAACACGCCCAGAAGTTCGTGGAGACGCGTAAGAAAGAGCCACTGGCCATGGAGTGCAGTCGGAGGATTCAGACAGTGATGAGGTACACAGTCCTAGATACAGCCAACCCCAAATGTTCAAACATCATGAATCGGGTGCCAGAAAATCACATGGACCAAAACAGCAATACTCATACTTTCCTTTCTCTCTGTACATCTTTTTCTTTGAAATGGTCATTGCTTTTCATTGCCCTAGGGACGCTGAACCACTAAGAGAGGTCCATGTCACAGTTTCACTCCTTTCTTTCAGTGTTAGCAACATTTCAAAAAAAGTTGAGCATTACACATAATCACTCAGTTCCCAGAGCTGGGCTATCCATGGGCAGATCCCTGCTGGGGAAAGAAGATCAATACAGTCAGTTTCTTTTCTTCGAAGAAACACAAATAAACCAAGCCCTGAGACTTCAATGGTTGTTCACACCACGGCACGTCCAGCCCGTGGTGCTTCCCAAGCTCTGCAGCTCTGCAGCTCTGCATGATGGGTGCAATTCGGTGCAATGCAAGGGCCATCATTTCTATGTTGCTGGGAGTGGAAGCCGCTTCACATGACCATATGGCAGTGCTACTTCTTAGACAATGATGAGCTACAAGAATTAAAAGAAAAGTCTAGTAACGCAAACTGAAAGGAATTTGCTAACACAGTGGCTGCCCCCCTTGCAGTGGATGAGTTTTGGCACTGCTGGGGAAATGTCACTGCACAATGAATGTGCCTTTGAGATGCATGAAAAAAATGCATGGCGAGGAATGCTATTCATTATTCTTTCCATGGAGAAGACTGAACATTTCCCGCCTCCCTATATCATATGCTATTCATGCTCTAAGCCCTGGTGAGCTGTATAGAGCTTCTTTAGAGTGGTGAACCAGGGAGAGGAAAGCATAATGGACTATTTTGGAGGAGAGATCTTTTTGCTAAACTGCCCCAAATCTGGAGTCTGGGGGAGGGGAAGAGAAACAAAGACAAAATAGTGTTTTCTGAGAGCATTTGCTTTCCTGCACCCACACTTATTTTTTCTCCTTATGAGTAACCTGCTTTTAAGAGGAGAGTAGACAGCTCAAAGGACTGACCTCCAATTACACAGAGTGAAAGCCCACTGAGCACTTAGGTACACCTTTTCCTCCACAAACACGAAGCTTTACTGCTTCATCCCCAGACTCCTGGCCAGGGAAACAGCATTCTGATGGGTGTTAAGCAGATATTTCTTTGGCAATGAATTCCTAGCTGAGGTTGCAAGGGAAGATGGCCCTATGCCTCCAGCCCAGCTGCTGCACATCCTTGGTCTCCTGTGGCCTCCCATTGCAGCATGGCCAGGAATAGATGACAGAGTCCACACTCCATACAGGGCCTGTGCAGTACCAGAACACATACTGTTCAACTTGGGTTTACAGTCAGGTTTTCCTTCTCCAATTGCTACTTTATTTATTGGGGAAAAAAAGTGTTTCCAAAACTACACAACAAAAGCTGGATGTCAGACTAAGCTCTCTTCATAAGAGCTTGACTCCATGTGAGAGAAGAGCTTGGTGCAGAAAGCTACAGTATGTAACATCTCCCAACAGCCTGCCCTATGCCACTGGGGACAGGAAAAGACCAGCCCTGGAAGGTAACGTTCTAGGCTTGTCCTCACTTTAAGCATACCAAGTAGCATGACAGCTAATCTAGACCCAGTTCCTCTGGTTAAAGGACAGCTCTATTCTGAGATACAATTTCAATGAGTTGGGACTGTGCAGCTTCAGCATCTCACAAGTCAGTGATTACATGCCGGTTCTTAGATAAGCCATAATGCTTAGAGCAGCTGTCCAAGCTTTTCCAGTACTTGTATCCTGAGCTGTAATATTCATTTTGTATCTGTATGCAAATTTCTTTAGCTGATGCAAGAGTTAAAATAAAATGGCCACTATCTTCACACTTCAGTAACAGTAAGGAAAACAGCTGCTGAATACACAGAAGGATTGCTGGTACTGGGTAGGAAGGTGCCTTATTCGTACAGCCTCCTTGCAGAGAACAACAGCCTTGTAATATACATGCTAATAAGCTCCTCAGTTTTTGCTCCTAATACAATGAATTTGCAGTGGGGCAAAGGTCCATTAGAGCCCTCCCCACGTCACAGAGCTAAGCATTTTAAATGGCATCTGTTGTTTGGGAGGAACACTGACTCCTAAAACAACCAGCACTGATCTCTCTCATGTTGGTGGTGGTGTTCTCCAGGAATGGCTCCAGGAAGTGGGCACCTCATCCTGTGGAGGTTGAGGCCATCTTACAGAACAACACCAAGATCTCACACAAGATTTGCTTCCCCAATGAAACAGAAGAGGTGAGAACTTACTTGTTTTCCTGGCCTTGACCATTTTCCCAGCCATGATGTATTTAATCAGGAACAGGTTTCAAGATATTCAGTCTTCTTACTTGTTCCTCTCCTCTGTGTAACTGAAGTCTTGTTATCTCACAGACATTTGATGTGGGAACAAATACCAAAATCCGGACTCTGTGTCAGAACATCGCTTCCAAATTACAGCTGAGCTCCTGGGAAGGCTTCAGCCTCTTTGTCAAGATTGCAGACAAGGTAACTTTTCTCAGCTATAGCAGGGTAGCCAGGCTCCCTCTTCCTCTCTTACTTCTCCCTCAGGCCACCTCAGCAATCATATATGAAATGAAGCAACAGAGCCAGTCATTACTGCTTCTGTCTTGCTGAAGGAATACAACCTAGTCTAGAAATTCTAGCACTTGACACTTGAGTCTCCTGAAGAAGCTGGATGGAGATGCAGAGTTTCTTTCAGTCTACTGGTACACACGTGGTACTAAAGGCAGAGGACATAGCTTTTCTTGCAGCTGCTAGGATGGTAGCAAACTGCATGTTGCATGCTGCTGGGTTCAACCTTTCTGAACTCAGGCTTTGCCCAAGAGATGCAATGTATATCTGCAGTACTCACTAGTCTTAGGGAAAGCAGTGGCTGACCAGCACCAGTCATTGCTCACTAGTTTCTCAAAACTTGCCTTCCCTGAAGTTTGGGTAGGCTGTTTTGCTGAGGTCTCTTCTCTCTGGAACTGTTTGAAGACTGTGATCACGGCAAAAGCAATACTGAGTCCAAGCACAGGGAGTTTCTGATATGCTGTGTTCCTTAGAAGAAGAACCCAGTATCTGCCAATATTTTATTATGAGATCACTAGGATAAGGTAGGCATCTTCAGCTTGACTTCAGTAAGGAGGTTGGAAGGAAAAAAGCAACAGAAAATGGAATAAACCTTCCCATATGAAACGGAAATCATGTAAGCCCTCCTCCTTCTCCTGTTTCTCCACTTGTTTCCCCTTGCCTCTGTCTTTCCTGCTGTAATTGTGCTGTCTTGCTGTAGAAAGGGAAAGAAAATACTTGCGTATACGGGCACAGATAGTATTTTATACAATCTACTAATCTTTTTCTGCCCTTCGTTGCTTGGCGTCTTCCAGGTGATCAGTCAGAACGAAGCAGACTATTTCTTTGACTCGCTAAGGCAGGTGACAGATTGGAACAGGAGGAATAAACCAGTGAAAGATGGTAAGGGGAGTGCCAGCATGACAAGAACCTGTGTGAAATGATGTGTTGAACTGGAAAAGCAGCAAATTTACCCAGTAGGATTTATCCCATCTTGCCAAATGTGTGACAAGTTTGTCTTACCATTTTTGTTTGTACATACACAGTTCCTGCCTGCACCAGCATTAAGACCCAGTAACCTCATGCAGCCAGCCACTGGCTGTCAGAAACACCAGAATATCTTGTCTGAGGATCTCTGCATAAATTTTAAATTGGTACAAATTATTCTTTGACTTAATGCATCCAAAACACACATCTGGATGTATGCAAGTTAGATAGACTGATCCTGCTTATGATTCAAGGCTCATACATTGCCAGATCAGGGATCAGCCAATACATGTAAATAGGTTCTTTACAGTGTCATTCCCATTCCTTGGGTCATTAGAAAATTGCTGTCTGCATTACTACCTGGTGATAACCAGACCACAAGTTGTACTGCTAGAGGAATGTGTTTTTAGCATGAAAAAATATAACAGTAATGACAGCAATTCTTTCCACTTCACCCCCAGGCATAACTTACATTTTGAAATCCACAGCAAACTCAAGCTCCCCTCAAATTTCATACTTGTTGACCCTGACCTTTGCTTATTTCAGGACAGTGAGGTTCAACTTCCAGAAGCACTAGGTATCTAAGACTTTCTAGCTTCCCTCCTCTCTCCACACCTGATGCAGCTGTTAGGATCTCTGAAAAACACAGCATAAAGATGTCAGTGCACTAAATCACAGTTCATTTCTGTAAACACATCCACTGGGGAATGTACCAGCATCACTGTAACAGAATTCAAGTGTGCTGAACATCAGCAAATAGCTGTCACGAGCAGCAAGGAATACACACTCATATTGTTGGGATCCTCAATTGTTCATCCACCTCTGAAGAGTCTAATGCTGCGCCTCAGATGCATGATGGGTGTCCAGGAACTGACAACTAGTCACAATTCCTTGGCCATCTAAAATGTCCTTTTCTGTGCTGTTTTTGTTGTTGTTGTTTGTAATTTTGTTGTTATTAAAAACAGAACTGTATTTCCAAAGAAGCTCACAACTGGAGTTCCACTCACTGTGGAACTTTGCAGTGACACAGAAGACAATGACAAGATGTTGTTTCCCTAGGTGCTGCTATGTCTGTGGCTTATGAAGTGTACTTCATGAGAAAGCTGTGGTTGAACGTAACTCCTGGGAAAGACCTGAAAGCTGATTCAATTTTTCATTACCACCAGGTAACCAGCTCCCTAAAGTGTAAATGTATCAGCAATAAGCCAAGAAATACTTCTGAAAAAGTAAGCCTGGGAGTATTACCCTCTCACTCACTGGGGAGCACAGTTCAGACTCCAAAGCAGATTTATGTGCTAACGTTCATACCTTAGCTGTACAGTTATGTACAGAGCACAGCTTCTTAATCTAATTGCTCCTTGGACATGCCCATTTTCCTCCATGACTGTGTGGAGAAACTCCAGAAGGAGCCTAAAGTTCTTGGAATGTGCTTGGTGAGACCCACACCCTGACCTCACAGTTTTATTGTGCATAAGTCAGTGTTTGCTTCAGCCCTTTCTATCTGGATTCAGAGCGTGTCTCTTCCAGGAGTTGCCAAAGTACCTCAGAGGCTACCACAAGTGTTCCAAGGATGAAGCTGTCCAGCTGGCAGGGTTGATTTATAAAGTGCGCTTTAACAATGACCGCACACAGTTGGCAGTCATCCCCAAAATCCTGAAGGAGCTGGTGCCAGAAAATCTGCTCCGAGCAATCTCAACAGATGAGTGGAAGAAGGTAAGAAATAGCACTTCTTAAGGCTTTTGTTATTCTTACTACTTTGATAGAGCTTTATGAGAGAAGAAATACATCAATCCACACTACTTTTTTGATTTGAATCTTTGAAAGCACTGTAGAGTGATGCTGTTTTGCCACTTATGACCCAGATGTAGTCATCATCTCTACCAAACCTCTGAAAGATATCTGCATGCCTGGGACTGCTTTGAGGTGTGCATTTTTCTTGGAGATATTTATCTCTTTTCTACGTCCAGAAGAAGAGTTAGATATTGAAAGTCAGTGATGGGCCTGGTGATCTGAGGACCTTGTAAAGAAACAGAAAATTAAGACATGCTAAATATTTAAAAGGTTGTCCAGCAAATCAGTGACCTTGCACTGTGTACATGCTACTCACAGCAAAAGGCTCTTTGCTTCACCAAAAGACAAGAAAGCTTCAGCACATACTTCATAAACTGAGGGAGGGTCCCCCCTAAATGTTTCAGTATAAAATGAGATTTATGTCTGCTGGGAACACTAGTATCGCCCCTCTGCCCTGGAATCTGTTCCCTTGAGCTCTTGGACTTCCTTCACACAACTCATTAGTAAGAAACACTGAGGAGGTTCTGGTCCCACTTTGCCCCATGGCATGGTAGGCGACCGATTTTCATGGTCTTCTGCTGCTGTGGGCACAAGACTGACCTTGCTGATGGTCTGATGCCTTCTCTAGTGCTAATGCTAGACAGTGGAAATCTGCCTGTCTCCAGCTGACTAGGCTGTGTGTCCTTTCTTATAAACAGAGCATTATTGCAGCATATAGCAAACATGAAGAAAAAACTGTGGACGAGGCCAAGATTGCCTTCTTGAAAATAATATACCGGTGGCCAACATTTGGATCAGCCTTCTTCGAGGTGAAGGTAGGTTTAAAGGCCTGTATGAACAGCTTTGGTAGTACACCAGCACTAGGAGATATGGACTGACCATAGTAAAGTATCTGTGTGAGAATTCATTATAAAAGTGGGTTCCCATCACTCCCTGAGGAAAGTGTGGTTCCTTGAAAGTGGGGAGATCAGTTCTTTATCCCTTCGGAACAATGCTTGTTACTTACTGGCTGTATTGTTCTGGTTCTGGAAGGGGCAGAACTGCCAAACGTAGGGGTACACTGCAAAGAAATCATGCTGCCATATGCACTGTTGAGGAAGGACCAATTGTAAGACACAGTGGTAGTACAACTACCATTATATCCAGTTGTAATACCCAATATTATGACTGCATAGCAAATGGAGGTGGGGGGAAGAATTATGTAGGTACTGTCTTGTCATTGTTCTCCACAACAAAATGCTGCCCAATCTCCTATTTCTGGGGTCTGACTCTCTGTGTACCTTTAGGGATCATTCCCCCTTTTTTACCTTTAATTTCTCCTCATTACGCTCCTACCAGACTAGTCTGCAATCAACCATTAGGTCCATTATTTCTTAGGCTTGATTCTGCTTTTACAGCAGTGAGTTACTTATCTCAAGTTATAATTATACACCCAAAAAAGTCATCCTTAGCAATAGTTACATAATACTGAAGAACTTCAGGTTTCAGTGTTTATTTGGTAAAGAGAACAAGCAGTGCTGGGCACCGTTATGTGTGTCACCACACCTAATACAGATAATTTTTTCACATTTTCTTTTTATTTTCTATTCTGTTGCTCATTTATAGCAAACCTCCGAGCCAAATTTCCCAGATATTGTGCTGATTGCAATCAACAAGCAAGGAGTCTCATTGATACATCAGAAGACAAAGGTAACGGTTGTTTCTCAAGAACCTAAACAAGGGTTTCACTGACACTCCTAATTTAGAGACAGCAACAGGACCTTCTCCTCAGTGTTAAAGAGGACAGAGTCCAGTCCCTCTACTCATTTTCTGCGACAAACTGAAGAAGATGTTATAGCCTCAGACCACTTCTTTGTAGTTTCTGCACTGAAATCGTTACAGTGTAGAGTGTCTCTGAAAAAAGCGATGGTAATAATGATGGACCTACACAAAATGGTAGCATCAGGTTGATGGATACTATACTAGGGAGACTGCTTCAGTAAAATGCTCTGCAGGAAACACAAGCTATCTGAAAGATCATGTCAAATGATGGTGTTTGCCAGCCCTCTAACCTAGCCAAACTGTCTGGTCTTACCAAGTTCCCAGGCAAAAACATTTAGAAGTATCACTATTTGCTTTTCATAAGAGAATACATATCCAGGGAGTTTTAGACTATTGTAAATATGATGGCAGCAGGCTATGGACATAAAAAAAAATAAAATAAAAGAAAACACATAATAAGAGGAAGTCTCTTAGAGTGATTAAGACTTAAGATGCATCTGCTTGGTGAGAATACCATATATCACTAGTGTGGATGCAAGACCTACCTTGATCCACTGCATAGAATGCTTTTGCTCTACAGGTTTTTGTATATAACAGCCTATATTCATTTGAGAAATATTGCACAATTCAGTTAAATCAGTTTGTTTCTCCTTACAGGAAATTTTAACAGTTTATCCCTTTAACAAAATCTCCAATTGGAGCAGTGGGAGCACATACTTTCACATGACAATAGGGAACCTGGTACGAGGAAACCGAATCTTATGTGAGACATCTCTGGTAAGAAGGGTTTTGTTAAATTACAGACAAGAGCCTCCTATTTTTTTCTTTTAAATCCAGACCTGTTACAGAACGATGATGCCAAAACAGACCATTAAAACCAGTGCAGATACAAAAACATTTACTGTTCATGTCAGTATAACTGCAGTTTGGAACTAGTTCAGTGCTATGCAATGCTATCTGATGCAAAAAGCAAGCCACAGAAATGAGGAAAAATAGCAAATTCCCAAGTTTTTCCCATGCATCAAAATCTCTCTGTTTGGGAAAAAAAAACGACTGCACTTATCCACAAAACTATGTAAGAGGATTTTCATCTTGTGTGGTTTAATCTGCTATACAATGACATCTTGTAAGATTTTCCTCTTTTAAATGAATGGTACCAACTCTTTAAGAACTGTTTTCAGACTGTTCAGACTCAGACAAACATAATTGTATTGATATTTAAAGGTAAAAGGTAAAATTGTGAAGAAAACCTTAAAACACTTAAGCTCTAACTTCTCTTACGGAAAACCTTGGATTACTAAGTAAAAGATATCAAGCTATAGTATCAAATCTTGGTTTGAATGACAAGGATATAACATTGACAGTAGAGCTGTGCTTTTCTATATCCATGAAAGGAAGACTGGATGGAGGAATAGATAAATAATTATAAAACCAGCAATAGCTGTTGGTATAGACATCATAGAATCATAGAATCATAGAATATCCTGAGTTGGAAGGGACCCTTAAGGATCATCAAGTCCAACTCTTGACACCGCACAGGTCTACCCAAAAGTTCAGACCATGTGACTAAGTGCATAGTCCAATCTCTTAAATTCAGACAGGCTCGGTGCAGTGACCACTTCCCTGGGGAGCCTGTAGTACATCATCCATGCAGTAAAGTATCTAAGAAGGTCAATCAGAGAGGAAATGACAGTTATTTTTGCTTATGGGGCTATTTGAGAGACTTAAGACTTCTTTCTTTTCTGACAGGGTTACAAAATGGATGACCTGTTAACATCCTATGTACGTGTGCTAATGGATGCTGTAAACAAGCAAAAGAGCCTCCCAGCCTGAAAGCAGAAACAGAATTCACGACCTACATCAGTGCCAAACTACCTGTAATTTCATCTACTAGAAGAAAAATTATTTTAAAAATATTAATCTTGCTGATCAGTTTTCTGATCACACACTGAATTTGAACTGTGCTGCTGAAATATTACCACAAGAAAAGCTCCACAGAGCATGTGCTTTCAAATATCTTCAGTGCTTCTCTTTCTTAGGTGTAGTGTTAGAATTCCATTCAGTCTTTGGATTCAGAGAACATTTAGCTCTATTTTAATCTAATACTCCAGATCTCCTCCATTTTCAAAGAGAGAGACACATTAACAGATTTTTTTTTCTTTTTGGAGAGAAGAGCCCCCTTAGTTTCCTACACTCTTACCAAATGCATAATTTGCAAATAAAGGTAACATCTTTTCCTTCCTACTGGAAATTCTAAAAGTGGATAAATGCCCTTTAGTATAAGGATAATAGGACACCCTGAAAGGCAAAATAATGTTTTTCATCCTTTTACCACTACATTATGTACCGAAGTTACAGCAGACTATGACAACCATTTACTGTCACGATATAAATGTCACTCCTGTGTGATGCTAAATTAGTGGGCTGTCCACTAGTTTATCACTGCCTTGGTTAAAATAAGTAGTTTTCTTTGTCCAACAATTCATAAAACACTCAGAAACTAACAATTGCTTTCTACTCTTCAATTTCTATTAAGCATAAACTCTGAAATGGATCTGGATTTTGTCTATTAAGCATAAACTCTGAAATGGATCTGGATTTTGGGCCCATTACTTCTATTCAGTTGCTCCTGTTTCAAGTTATAGATATGCTTAGTCAGTGCAAATTAGAACTGAAGAACTCAGTGTAACAGACATCTGTTGAAAGAGGCATATTTCTACTATATGGCAATGTCCTCAGCTTGGAGTTATGCAGACACTCATTCACAAGACAAGAATAGTAGAAAAGATCAAGCGAAATTAAAGCTGTTTCCTGCTTCAGGCACTGAGTGGTAATTTGATTCAGTGCTTGTTCACAGACCTTAGTAAAAACACAGCATTGGACCGTCAGGAACCAGAGCACATAAAGCATATGTACCGCAGTGACAGTAAGCCTGTCACTATATAGATGCTCACCCCACCAGAGAACAAGCACCCATTCCTCAGTGACAACCCCTCCTTTGCGTATGGTGAAACATGGACATGTCTTAAAGCATTTACACCAAGTTCCTTGAGACATGATCTGGCAGCACTGGAAAAGCAGCTCTGCTAGATCTCTCACTAATTTGCCAATGTATGCACAATGGTTCCCTTGTTTCCTCAGATATGTGTGTGTGCAATTCAAACGCTAAAGGGAGTTTTGTACATGCATGGCAGGGAAGAGCCCCATCCTCTTTGTGCATATAAATGAGTGCCACACTTGTCAGATAGTTGATCATTTTGCAAACAATTAGGTATTCCTGCTGTAATGTCCATTGCTGGCAGTGGACACTTTTAGGACTAATGACTTTTGAGTTGTTTTGTCATCTTATGTCTGATCTGACTGTAAGTGAGAAGCATTCAATACTTCACCTGTACAAAAAAGAAATTTTGCATCCAAAATGTATTGTTTCTGGTTTTTAAATAAACTCTGAAGAAAATCAACCACAATGTCTTTTTCAACACGTAAAGTGAGTATTCACTCCAGATCGATGCAACTTAAACCGTCCACTACAGTCTGTAAATGATCATAGCACCTCATCTACTTTTCATATATGCAATACAAATTGTATGGCAGTATGGCATAACCTCGAAGAAAATGATATCCCTTTTCTGCATATCTTCATCAATTAACACATCACCATTGAAGCAACACATCCAAAATGTAAATTCAACACAACATTGAATCAGATCTGGGCAATCCTCAGAGCTCCTCATGATGTGTAATGCTCCATTGGTCAGCACTGCAATTGTAAATGTACTATATGCAAATTGGTTTACTTTTCTCTGTGTGTGTGCAAAGATTTAAAACGTATTACAATTAACTTTATTACAAGAACACAAACAGGTATAGTATTACAGTATTTCAATCCACAGTCACATGTTAGGTTAGACAGTATAAGCAATGTGTGATAAAACGAGAGCTCCACACTGTGCAGAATCTACACTTATCATCAAGGCCTGAACCATGACTAATAGCTGCTAATTCCTTTACTCAGTCTGTGGCATCCTTAGCACTTCATGGTGCTTTACAGACTAGTGCAACTGCATTTATTACGTTTGTCTGCAACCTATTCCTTCACCATCGAACCACTGATTTAACAGCGTCAGTCACATCATCTAATACAAAACACACAACATCTAGAAGCTCTCTGTACAGAAGGCTGAACATTTGCCTACATTGCACAGACTGTTGTGAGAATAAAGGCTGGGATGCAAACCCTAGATAGCAGATTAGTTTGCCATAAAGAAAGATAGCAAGTGATTAACATACCCTTTTAATACAAATAAGCTTCACATGCTGTGATTTTTAAAAGCATAACCATTTTCAAGTGTAGTCAGTGAATATTAGTCATTGTAATTCAGTATAAATATGAATGTAAACTATAAATGTATATAATGAGACAACAGCTTTTAGTCAGTATACACTTCTGAGCCAAATTCAGCCTTGATATAAATTTATGCTCTCCAGTGGTATGACACCTAGGATGAATTTGGTCAGAATGTCTATTTACAGCAATGAAAAAAGCATGCAGCTTATTTCTGACCAAGACCTTGCCTTTATTTAAAAAAAGTAATGTCAGCCTGTCAACACACTAGGCAGAATTTTAAAGTCTGCATTACCTTCTACTTATTTTCTAAAAAAATAGACTCAAAAAGGTAGAGGGAAGATGCACTTCTTTGAAGTATTTATAATTATTTGTCCTACTCCCTCAATTCCACTATCTCACAAAAGGTACAGCAACGTTAATTATTCCATCTCTGCACATGGCAGGATAAGACAGGTAATTGTGAAAAAATAATAATTTAAGAGATGCTATCAGATCGTCACGATATGCTACTTACAGAGATCAATGGCTATGATGATTTTTCCCTCCACTAATTTTGAGAAATGCTCTGAAGGGCAAAATCCAAATTGTAAAGAACTGAACAGCTTATGAAAGAAAATGATATCAATCAACTATCCTTTGAATGCTGAAGCATATTTGGTCTACTGAATTTCTAACATGAGACAAAGTGAGAGCACACACTAAATCTCTACTCGCAGTAGTAATTCCATTTGCCTCTACATGCATGCATTTTCCATTGCTGAACTTGAGTGGCCACTAAAAGAGTATTTCCTACTGCCAGCTAGTTAAACAGCCATTCTGCATTTACCAGTAAACACACAGCTTTGTGTTCCTCCACCATTTTCCCAGGAAGCTGAAGACACACAGCTGCTCAGATTTGGCATTAGGTGTGGCCTGTGACTAAGGTTACCGGAACAGACCTCCACGCTTTATGCTGAGAAGAATCTGCATAACATAGTGAATTGCACCTACATCAGAAGTTTTGCACTTTACTGTGTCAACCAAATGCCAAAGAATAGGCTTACAAAACCAGTCTTTTCAGTGGCCACATACTACTGCACTAAAAGACATGCTGTTCTTTGTGCCCTTAACTAAAAGACCATTTAAAGGCTAGTGAGAGAACAGGGACAAGTCACATGTTCTCCTAAAGCAGTGACAAAAGCAGCTACTATTAGTGTAATCTGCAGTGCACATTGGTCAGAAGACAACGCAGGAGTTCTACCATCAGATTAAAGCCTATCCCCTCATCAGTGTTACAGTGGATGCAGCATACCCCAGTTAAGAGCTTATGGTAAATTAAGACAACAAAAAAGCAAAGCAGCTGAAGGAAATTGAATTAGGAAAGCCAGTATCTACGAGATGGTGGGATTCTTACCTGCACAGAGTTAAGCAGGATTTCTCACCACTGCTATGACATATCACTGGTGCAGTTTCATGGGTAGTGGCTACAGCCTGCATGTTAACAGCTATCAGTGCTTTAGCTATCACCTTGCGTAGATCCATTCTGAGCAGAGTATGATGGCACTGGAGGCTATTCTAAGGCAGCTTATTGCCCCCAAGGCAGTTGCTGCTCACACATGCCAAAAGTGAAGAAGCTTTAATTTCTTGCTAACTAATTCACCTGGGGCTGCAGGATGCTGCCAAGGCCCACCTGCTTTGTTCGTTTGACCTACTAAACGATACGCTTTTTGACAGATTTAAGTCACACGTGGGACAGCAGTCCTCCAGTGCCTTCTATCCTGTTCACTTTGCAAAAAGGGCAGATAGTCTCCAAATATTCATGGAAAGGGATTCTTAGGTTGCTCAGCTAAGTTCAGCAAAGGAAACCACAGGACATACCACCAAAGGTCTCAGTAGCTCACAGGTGGACTCAGAACAGCTCTGCTGATGGCTCACCACTAAAGAAGTACTGAGAATGTTCAAGACCAGTACATTTCTCAGCACCTTAGGTTGTACTAGCAGAGGCAGTAGGACCACTGAAATTGCACCAGCGATAGGGAAAACTATGGAGCAGAAAGAAACTAGGAAGGAAAACAGTACTCTTAAGAGGTACAGATAGAGGTCTGAGGTCCTCTCTTTAAGTACGCTCAGATCTTAAGAAGAAAGTTGACAGGTAACTCTTACTTGATTGAAAAAATTTAAGAAAAATATTTATTTTTTTCTCCATAAAATTGCATTTGCTATCAACTCTAAATATTAGAAATTCCGTCATGTAACTCTGCTTTCTGTATAGTGACCTAAGAGTATATTTTTGCCTTTCAAATAAAGTGAGAAGGACTGGATTTGAAACTGAAGCACTTAAATTAATACCATATTATAAACTGGATTTCACAAAAATTTTTTGCAAAAGAACAACTACAGCTTTAGCCACACTGCCTCAAAAAACATCAGCTGTGTCAGTGGACAGGACATGCTTTGTGTTGACCACTGGAAGCTCTGGTACCCATGATGTAGTAGAGAACAGACTGAGAAAAATGTAGTGTCAGTTTCTTAAAAAAAAAATTGTCCTTTTCCATAGCCAC